ATATATTTGCAATCCTAGACTCCAGAGTCTCTACTCCAATAGACAGGTGGCGTTTTCCACCCAAGATTTCAAGAAAGGCCCAAGATAGCACTAATTTACATTTCATAGTACCTATACGTACAATGGGGCTCAAATCAGTGGGCTTTACCTTCACACCCCAAATATAACTCTGTCCCTCCATTCTACGCAAAGATAAACGATGTGTGTATATTTTCTCTTTATTCATTATCCGATTTGCCTAATTAGTATTGAATTCTCGTACGAAAAATGTGTTGGTCATATACCTATTTTTTAATATTAATTAATTAAAACGAACTACATCGTTTTTGATTGGTTGTAGTACAACAATAGTATTTTATGCTTCGAGCACCTGCTGCGAAAAAAACCAGCCGACGAAACGGTGGTAACAGACGATTAAAATTATTCTAGCGTGCAGAATTACCGACCGGTTAACCTGTCGACAATTATCTTAGACGTAAATCTTAATCTTACGCAATATTAAATTGTGGCGCATCTTGATTTGTGTAGGTAATCGGCACACCGGCTATAGTTAGCTACTTAAAAAAAGGGGAATTCGACTTGGATCGAAACCTGTCGGCTCGTGAGCGCGCCGATATCCTGGCGTACAAAATAATGGTGCAGCATAAACTTGTGCCTGCCCTTAACTATGCAGTTTGGTACGTAATATTTATCGAAAATAGAAACATTGACGCATTGTTTCGTTTTAATTAGTACACACTTGAGACAATTATAACAAGCCTCAAACATCTATTTTCACAGCACTTCTTCTTTAATTGTATACAGGTGTGATGAAAGGAACTACGCAGAAGTAACACGGCCAGCGTTCGCTCGTATTGTGACGTTTCCTTTAAATTACACCGTACCAGGCCGACTCCAGCGGGTATATCTAGATGAACTATGGGCACGCTTCGGACAAACAGCTAATCCTCAAGATGTGGAAACGCGCCTAAATCGGGATGCCCGAGAGTGTTTCTTAGCTCTGTCGGAAAAATTAGGTAAACTGTAACGGTGAATAATTATCAATCGCCGAGTACGAATGAATTTATTTATTTTGTTTTACTAACGCATATATGGGTCATATATTAGTTACGTACGTTCAAGGTGGATTAATGGTAGCATGTCACTCTGTTAGCTCCTGTATCCGAAGTTAAATTGGCTTGAATTCGCGGCACACCAAAAACCTTTAGCAGTAAATAGAATTTTTTAACTATGGAAGGAAGATGCCGTTGGCAGAAGATGTTCCTTCGGCTACAGGGAACAACGTTCTTTTCATGAGTATCTTTAACGCATTGAATAAAGTTATAAGCCTTGATTAACCTTCATTAATATGTATTGTAGTAAATAATGATAAAACTTTAACCCATCCACTACCATTGCATTTGCATGGAGCTATTCTCTTAACACTGTGAGACTAAAAAATAGAGACCCGCGTTTTTTAAATTTTAATTAACACGTGTTTTCAGGAAGTTCGCAGTACTTCTTTGGAAACAAAGCAACATCGTTTGACGCATTCCTGTTTGCTCGGCTTTCCTTCGTGCTTAAAATTCCAGTTCCCAATGCAAACCTTGTATCGCACTTAAAGACTTTTCCCAACCTGGTCGAGTTCGTTAATAAAATTCACAATAAGGTACGTCTGCCTATTTTATTTGTGTATAAAGTTCACACGTCACCTTATTACTTCCCCAGGTTCTGAAAATCGCTTTCATAGCTCACAAAACTCAACAGAGTGTTTTACTGGAAGCGGTTATTCCTTTTAGCAGAAACGAGTTTATTGAACAAGTTATATAACATTGGCTAATTTATGCAATGCGTGTGAAACTCTAAAAACTGTTTTGTTTTTACCTTAAATGTATTATTCATCATCTTCTATATCTGTAATTTCTAAAATCTGTCTTCCACGTGAGAATTTCATTGCTTATGTAGTCTTGAATGCTATTAACACCAGTCCCCGCCATGGGGACTAATGACGTATCTTTTATTTCTTTTGTGTGTTTTTGCGTATACGTCTCTTTGAGTAGCACATCGCTAGTGAGGTTCGCAAGCAAAGAAGCTCGAAGGAGCGTCCTGAATGGATTGGAATCGCTTTATCGATCTCATTTGCAGCGACAGTTATGTTTTACTACGCTTTCGCTAAGGGCATCCTCCAGATCGAGTTTGAGCCAACCAGTGGTGTTTCGTCTGGCGGCTAATTGCTACAATTAACAATTGTAATCGTGTAAAATATGCCTGTTTCTGAAGCGAAACGCAACGGGTTTATCGGCCGAATCTGGTAGATCGCTACAGTTATTTCAACAGAGATTTATAAGACAGAGGCATCGTCTTAGCTTATAGGGCGAAATATTCCAGTACTTTGGCATCCTCGCTTGAATCAAATAGGAACTGAATTTTAGATATATATATATATATATATGCAAAAGTAGTTCGTTGAAGGAAACTTCTAAATAGAGTGGTAACCGCCTTTTGAGGTGTGGGGAATTTCAAAAATGAAATGAAAGCTTTTTAAAAGGCTGTGCTACAACAAAAAAGTTGGAGAAAACTTCAGTTGCGACGTAAATCGAAGACCACAATCTAATCTCAAAAGGAACTGCGTTGCCAGGCTCCGCCACTTGGATTGTGGAACTGCGTAAGCAATGATCTAAATGTTCATGGTAGAAACACTGAATTATATAATTACTATATATGGGAACAGTTTGCGGTAACCCTTAGAAAGGTCACCGTAACTGCGAGAAAAACTATGAGGATAGCAAAGTCAATATTACCTTTGACAGCAAGCATGCATACAGCAGCCAAATGAAGATATGCTTATCTGTCAGCTTTTGTCCTCTATAGTATTATAAATAAATAGAATGTATATTTACTGATTAAACCAATTTTTTAAAGGAAAGGTGAAATTAGCCCTCTAAAACAAGCCAATTAACAGGTTAAGGCAGCCGATATTAATAACCCGCTTATACTTGAGCAAATTCGTAAACGAGCATTTTGTGACAAAGAGTGACAAAATTTTTTATTGAAATAAAGCTCAGGATAGTTATTTTGATATATTTTTACTATCTAATGTTATTATGATTGAACATGTACTAACGAAGGTTGCAGCCACCACTGCCGTCTCTGCTATAATGCAATATTTTCTTTCAAATTCATCTGTTTGATTCGAATTTTGATCCTACAGCCAAACGTGTGGGAGGCGCATTTCGAAACAACGTTACCGCGTAAGAAATTGGCAAATTTTCATGAGCTTTAGCACTCCGCTGTTTGAAAATTCAATATCTGTGACGCTACAATAAGGGTGATGTTTCTTCTGCCATTTATATATACTGTTTGCTAAGGAAATCCAAAGCATTACAAAGCTCTACTTCATTTCCCAGTACGAACTTCGCATAGAAATAGTAACCGTGTTATGTGGACTTAGCGCAGATAGTAGTTCCTTTTTTTGATTCAGCGGTCAACGCCTTTACGTTAAACTAAAAACGTTTTAATATAAATAAAGGAATAGCCCTTTGCTAGTGAGTAATCAATATATCTTTAGCTCCAATTGGTACAGCCAAGACTACTTGAAAATTAGATTCTGGTACGATCCGAGCCCATGACTTGATATGCTGCACAGAGAACGTCACTTTTATGAAATGACGTAAGCATCTTATGAGTACAGTATAAAGAACATTTTCTCCATTTGTCAAAAAAAAATCAACCCAGTCTACTCAAGAGCGCAGATATAAATTAGTCGTACGATATTTACGAATCGCTTGCATACTCTAAGAAATATATAATCCAAAAACCAAAAAAAGAGACCCGTCAGAGTATCATGCGTGTGAGAGCGCAATTATATGTATATCGTGGCTCGCGCCGTAGAAAGTTATTTTTACACAAAACCCTTACTGAAATTGAAAAAGGAATCGTTTACAGTAAAAAAATAGCTCAAAAGAAAGTAAACTGCGAACACGTCTAAACATGTTCAGCCAATAGGATCTATTGGCACCTGAATGGAACGCCCTATTATACAGTTTCCGCAACGGTAAAATTATGACAAATGCTTTACTCAGCCCAACAAGTTGAGTCAAAAAATCGACAACAATTTACCCTGAAGCAGCAAAGGACCACAGAAAATCAGTTTGCTGCATGGCAATATTTAATACCGTGAAACTCTGGCAACCCGGGTCGCGTTAATTCGGCCCATACTTTGCTCAAACAAATTACAGTAGGATATGGATAGCCAGGAAAGTAAGCCACGTGAAACGGAAAGTCAAAGTGCAAAAATATGTCTATTAAAGGATAGTCTTCATGGACGCTTCCCTCAATAGCCGAAGAACCTCACTGTTCCAATGCAGGAAACAGACTACGGAAAGTCTTAAAGATTATTTTTGTGGGCGAGGGTAACACTATTTAAATTACAATAAGAAACAGAAAATGACCCGCAGAATAATATATACTGTATACAGAAGCCAAGGATTGCTTACCTGTGTATGGCTGTGAAACGTATATAAATGCATACTAAGTAACAACGATAACAATGTTATTAGAATAAAAGCGACCATACGGGCACCCAAAGTGTTGTTACTGTTAGATTTAGATGGATAACTGGGCTAACCCGCGGGCTTCGTTCCGGGCTCGTCTTATCGTTAGTTGCAATCTACCTTGAGTCCCGTTACACTAATCTTGTAATCCCCTTGCCACCATCCGAGTATAGTATTACCATTTTGCTGACTTAGACTTTTAGTATATCTTAGTAAATCTGTTACATTGGTGTAACTATTCGATGAGCTTGACAGAACCTATATCCTGTCCCAGTTAACCTGGTAAACCGATTCTCGTACAACAGAACTAGTTCGTGTTTTTTTCCACAGCTTTAGTGTTTCAGCTATAGAATTTTCGAGATAAAATTATATTCGATTTGGGAGCCAGATAGGTCCAAAATATTTGTTATTAAATTAAAAGAATAGCAGTTTTAGACCAGTGTTCTCGAAGAAATGCCGTAACCTTCTTGCATGTGTTTCATTTTTACATTTCCACTCAGTGAAAATTTTTTGCCGCCAAAATCTCACAGCCTGTAAACTGCTAGTCTTAGATTATTGTGCAGTTAGTTTTGTTTCGGATTCTGCTCACTAATACTTATTAAATGTGTATGCGTATCTTCTAGATTTTTTATGAACACGAATGCAGTGCTCTTTTTTCGTCTTAACCTCCTCTATACACACGTATAATAAATATATAACATTAATAATAATGTTAATGGACAATAGATATAATAATGTTATATTACGCACAAATGCCATGTATCTAACAAATAATGATGCGTTGTCTATGATAAACTGTGGGATGATATTATTTATTGCTCAGACTTCACAAGTGTTGCCCTTAGAGGGCTCATAATTAGTCCGCTTTACTTCGCTTCGTTGATGTTGCCCGTATGCTAGAACAAACTGACGGGCAGCGGTAACTGTGGTCTCTATCGACATCCTCCTATACCGAAATGCCTATCCTCATCTACCCTGAGGTTGTTTGGTCCCTCCATTTTGGCTCCCCACGATATGTAGTTCACTAACAAAATATTGTCAAAGTGTAATAACACCCGTACTGCTTCCGCTTCCGCCTCCGGATGTTCCCCGGTGACCACCCGACGATCCGTATGTGCTACTTGTCGAGCTGTCGTTATGATTCGGGTCGTGTTGAAGGTGATGGTGTGGATGGGACATGACAGTGTGGTCACGGATTTCGTCTTCGTCGACATCGCTGCTCACGCCGCCAGAGGACGCATGTGACATTTGTGAACTACGAGACGTCGAGCCACGTCGCGGCGGAAGCAAAGTGCCGGTCCCACCGGCCCCCTGATTTGCCGGCCGAATTGTTACAATGAGATTCGACGAATTTGCAACCATCATATCTGTGACCTGGTCAAGTGACTTGCCTGCCACCTGTTTTGTCAAGGCAACAAAAAGTAAAGCACTCCAATGGAGGTTAGGATGTTAGATGGTCGTAGTCAATATTAAATGGGATAGGGTACGATATGTTACTTCGGTTCGAGGAAAAACACTGGTTACGTTCCTTTCAATATGATGTGAAACGGTGGATTCGCTCTAGGCCCTTCGAGTTCCTCATGACAAAACTACATTGTTAAGTAATAATGCAGTTTTTACATAAGACTATTCTGGTTATTGAATGAGGGCAGATAAACTTACCTCAATGCCGTTAACCTCTAATACCTCATCGTTAACAGCAAGCAAGCCGGTAGACTCTGCGAGACCACCAGGGACAAGTCGAGATATAAAGATACCTGGCACTTTTTCTAAACCTTGAGGTGTCACTCGCACCGAAGTGCCATCTCGAATATAAAAACCTTACAAACGAGACCGAACGCAATCATAGTTAGTGGATGAAATATAATACAAAATCCATATTTCGAATTTTTTAATTCACACTAAAAACATGATAAGGGATACCTGCTTGAACTTTAATGCCAAATACTTCCTCCATATGCGAGTTATCTGGTTTAGCTAAAAGTTTTCTCATTCGTGACGCTAACATTTAAATAGGGATATCGGAACCACGTTATCGAAGTCGTTTAGATTCAGTGGCGTACGATCAAATAAATGACACATAGATATTGATAAATCTGTATGCGTAAGTAAGCTTAGTGCGACTGGCGCTAGAACTTAAAACTTTCAATTGAGCTCCATTTCGATCTTTACTTATACGCACCCAATGGTCGATCAGAACCGTGCTTCACAAGGCGTACCCTCCTACAAGTGTCAGGCACCTGGTCAACATCTATAATAGACGATACCTGACGGAAATCTTCGGGTAACGATATCTGCGGTTTTGTTTTTTCCGAATGGCCCATCGGCAGATACGATGCAAGAAAACCTTTTCTCGTGCGATTGCCGTAGCTATTCAGACCTAAAGATCCGTATACAAACAATATTCGATGAATAGTGTATTACATACCTACACTCGGGATAAAGTAAGACAAAATTGACGTCATTTGTTTGCAAGTTGCATCTAAACCAAAACAGATATCGGGATAAAATTGACTGCATTGGCCGACAGAAATATCTCTGATGGACGTGCTTATTTAACTTACTTATGGCCTAAACCTTTATCAGAATATTCTTATTCGTACCTTTGAGTGACCTTCTTGATAGAAGAATCAAAGCCGTCATGTAGACACTTACTAGCCTTCAGCTCAAGCGCGTCATGCATAGCAATCCAACGAATCCAGATCTAGGCTACAAGCGACGGTATTATTCTTGTCCTAGAACTTACCCACACAGTCAGCTAGTCCTGCACTAATACGTCGCAGGTACGGGTAAGTGCGTCATCCAGCGAAAAGATGCATTGGATACGCCTTTGTCATAGAACTTGGATATCTTCTTTATTGAATAAGACACTAGAGTGTCGACTGCCGTTCGAATTTTGGTTTTATTCTTAACGAAAACTGCTCCAGGACGGCGGACAAATCAGCAGTCGTTTCTGGAGTCGACCTTTTGCATTCCAGGTGAATGTGAATTCCTCGTTATTGAAGAACTAAAATTAGTATGTTACTCTGTGCCTGAGAGAGCCTAGAAGCAGACGACATCGATCAGGTTTTTTTGTCCTCAGAGAGGTTTTATCTAATTTTTAAGGAATAAGATTCGAACTCGAAACGTTCGTAAACAGTTCGAGACATTCTATTCATTTTCACGTCAAATTCAACCTTCAAATGCGCATACAAATCAGGATTACCCAAAATTCCGACAATCAGTAAAAGCATAATCTAGGTGGTGCTTTGTCTGGCCGAAAGGCATTAGGAAATAACGGGATTTTTGCTCGTAATACGAAGATGAACCTGTGTCTTTGCCAAGTCGAATTTGTGGCTTTGGTTGTATGGAAAAAAACTGGCTCTCTCATAGTACTAAAATTATCGGTGGTAGTACTCTTAGCTATATAGAATTCTATGTGATCTCTGTAGAATAAACACATGTTGAAAGTGATGTTTTTATTATTTGGAATATTCTGCTTGTGGCGTCCGGATTCAAGATGAAGTTTGTAATCCAAACAAAATAGTGATAACATGTTAAATAAGCAAACAAAGTTTTACGACATTTCACCGGACGTTGCTTATTGACCAGCCTAATATAACCCTAATAATATAATTAACAAGGTAGTAATTTTTATAGTAGAATAATACTCGGATAAAGGTACTGAATTTTTTTGCACCGAATAAAAACTTTAAGGCTCCCTTATTTAACTGACCCCGTTTCCCTCTAAATTAGTTTAAAACTAAAACACCTTTACACTATTTGTAGAGAGTAAAATATCGGATTTGTTATTCTTATGTATCTCAAACACTTATTGGCAAAAGCACTTAATATATATATATATATATATATATATATTATGATTAATTTTGCCATTAGGGTGTGAACAGGGTGATTCGTAAGAATTTACCTTCCCATTGGTTTCCTTTTCGCTGAACAAATAATCTTAGGGTAGGTTTCGCATTGTTAATAGCCCTTGCGAAGTTTTCATCATTGTTTATAGGAAGAACATCTCCATGAATAGGGTCTGTATAGCATAAAGCAAATGGTACTTCGGCCAGCCGATGAAATCTCTCGACAAGCTGATAGAAGTCGTCGAATTTCACCAATTGAGCACGCTCCATTGAAAAGCGTCGGAACTCAGCATCAAACTGAAAACAAAAACAGACGTGTAAGTAGGAATCATGTTAATAGACACAAAGTATTCAAGAATCATATAGCATGGTACGAATTTATTAGCAATTTACCATTTGGGTGAATAAACATATTGCGTTCCATTTAAATTTAAATTTCTAAGCAGTTTTCGTTAAATTAAAAAGGAAACGCGGTAATCTTTGCATGCAGTTTTAACTCGTGATGTGAAGTGAAGTACTTAATTTAGATAGGTATAAGTCATACAGGTTATAATGCTAATAATTACCAGGGTTAAGCAATCTTTGTACAACAGGGCTCAAAAGCAGCAGTGAGGCCATCGAATACCTTCCAATTGAAGTTCGAAAAATCTCAGCAACTTTACTCTAAAGTCTACTCTAGAGGCTAAACACCATATAGTTCTGGAAAATATGTCAATATGCTGAATATACCTTAGTAAAAATACGCTAAAAGGGAAACTCTGATCTATATCGAAATAAACCATATGTTTCAAACATGCAATTAAACTTAACAATTATAGATTTAATTGTTGGTCAACCTAAATTCATATACGATGGGTGGGTAAATTGACATAACACGCATGTAACATGTATGTTAAAAATGTTTGATGTGAAATTTCAACATTGTTTACTGTGTCATTAGACACGAAGCGAAAAATTGTCCGTATTTAAATTGATCCGTTCAGCAGCATTCCATAAAATGCCATTATCATGTCTAGCTAGTGGTTTTTTAACGATGTTTCAAACAATTCAGCGAATGTTCTTTCGCATTTCGTTGGACCCCGAAGGTGCATGCTGGGCACGTATCTCTACTCTGTTCCAGCGACTTCAATATACATGTGACATCCTTTCGGTATTGAATGTCTTTGTCAAAACGAATTTATTGTCAGTCAAATCCTGCCCATGTGCTGTTCCTCGGTATGGGCGAAAGCACAAAACATACAGCTTATGTGAAACTTCTATGGGAGTTTGAACATTCAAAGCTTCGAAAGATAACATGAGATATATGGCAAGAAGTCAAAGAACAGAAGTTTTACACTAGCCCATTTGGAGTACAATCGTAGTGAGACAATTGAAAATATTAGCTAATATCACAAGTGTATACTCATTTCAAATGGGATACCAGAGTGTGGAATGATTCTCAGTTTAAAGAAAGATATATTAAGAAATAATACTCATTTATAAAAAAAATGTATGATTTTCCATCCAATATGGCAGTTGGATACTTTTTAGTCTAACCATCTTTAACCGCCTTCAAATATATATATTCTCTTTTTCTAGATAGGTTGGATAATCACATTCAATGTGTTTTTTGCCCTAAAACTAGAGATAAGATAAAGTGCATCGTGATATCTACCCTAAATTAGCTCGAAGCTTATATTTTTTACTGCAATCGTCATCCTTCGCTTTGGATCCAACTTCCTTTCATGTTTTGCCATCAACATTGTGATGATTAGGTATACCAAAGAAGTCAAAATAGACTAGCTTGTCTATTATCACTTGCTCGATTGGCACAATTTCCGCGCATGGTGACTGCTGCATATATGCGTAAACCTTCTCACACCACCGGGAAGCTGAACCTACATAGACCAAGCTAATCAAAACGTTAATTAATTCAATAGTTTTGAAAACGATGTAGAACTGCTCACTTTGTATTTGGGATTACCTGATGCCGCTTCGTAATGCATCAACGACCTTTAGGCGTCGACATTTCTCCAGGTCAATCCTCATGTTATTCAGCAAAATATGCGTTCCAGTGGGAACATCTATTATTACATTTTTATGTCTGTTGTGATTGTTTACTAAATAATAGTACTGAGAATAAGAAGTGACTTCATTGGAAGCCACTATAGAATTATTTTTACGAGCCTCCTCAGCAAACGAGTAGAAATCTCGTGTGATAGAAATAACGTCAACTCTTACAAGTACTCCGATTTGTCATTTTTTTTTAATATGTATTATAAATAGGATAAAACATCACCTTAAAAATAACTGTCTGACATGTTTTTATCCCATACCACTCTCCTTTGATTATTAAGCGTCCAGAAAACTCCTACAAAATGCTGCATTTTGGAATTGTAATTCTAAGCCAGCAAAACTAGGCAAAATTGAAAATTTCAAAACGTTATTCCAGGAGTGACAGCAGTGTCATCAATTGGCTATCAGCTAATCTTTGCTAACTAGTGCTTAGCATTAAGCTGCTACAGCTGCCCAAGTCGATAATCTCTGTTACGCTGCTAAAGCAATACTCTCGTTCAGACAAGTTCGTAACTTACTTCATTTTATAGATGCGTAAATCAAGCTCCTTGTAATCACATGTACTGCTTCTCGATAATCTACCTGTTTTTCGCTACATCCAATCAAGACGCGCCCGTGCGCTCTGAACCTGGTTGAAAACGTCCTTCTATAGTGTCTGTCGTCAAATAAAGGAGGCAAGCAATGTTGGAGCACAGCTAAGCAAAATTAGCGGTGAAAAATAAGGTCAACGAAGGTGCAGTTAATAAAAGCCCCAGGCGTCCTATGGCTTCCAACAGAAGCCAATTCGTCGAAATCAAGATAACAATATCCACTGGCTTGCGTCAACGTCAGGGGCGAAAGAAAACAAAGGTACTAAAGCTTCACAATCTGTTTTGTGATCAGTTATTGCAGGTAGCTCATAATTCACTCAAATGACTATAACAAAATAAAGAAATTCGATGTGGACCACTTGCACAGTTATTCCGTTGCATTACCTGCGTATATTGACAAAACATTCGAATTAATATTATGTTTTGCTTAATAATGGGAATAAATTTTATCAGACTTTCCCACAGTGATCTTATGGCACTTTATGATAAGTCTAAAATTTATTTCGAATACACAGCTCAATCTTTTCAGGACTTTTATGTTTTAAAGAACCGTCGTTTATTCCGTTCTGAACGCTGACTGAAATTCGCCGTGTGAAGACTCGCTTGTTTATTTTTGCATTTGGTGTTGTTCGAATCACTGTTCGTCCATCTGCGTGAACGAACAGCGTGTTCTACCGTTCCCGTAAAGTATTTCACGTGATGTGGTGATAAAACAGTCGTGGCGCAACTTGACAATTAGCTCAGTTCGGGCCGCATCGCTTAGCTCACCGGCTTTCCGGTCGCCTTCATTTTCGGCAGATTCGAATCTTTTGCCAAACATAGGCTGCTGTTATTACCACACTTTCCTTGAATATATCCCAAACGCAGTACCTGTCGTAATAGTAGCGCTAATAGCAGCGAGCAACAGCTGCAAGGGAAAACGAATAAGTATCTAAGTGCTAATAAATTCATCTAGTAACATTTCAGAACATTATTTTCGCCCGATTACATATGATTATTGAATGTGCTTGCCGTCGCCAGTTTCGCCAAATATTAAATGTCGCCAAATGTCTCAACTGTTGCTCATCAGAACTGACTTTTATCAATAAAAGGTTCTACCTTAGCATTCTTATTGGCCAACACCCTTATCCTAGATGATGTTAGCTAGTCGTTTGCTGTCTGAGTCATCATCAACGTTTGAGGTCATCAGCAGTATATCTAAATGTATGTTTTATTAATTCCAACATCGATATTCGCTATTCGTTCACTGTTGTTGCGGTGATGTTAATCAGCCATCTGTCAGTTTGCCTGCCCGTTAGGTAGGAGGTCAACGATGAGTCATTTTATGGCGATACACACCTTGCTTTTCACTTCGACGACGGTAGCCGGCGACTTCGGCAGCCGCGGCTCATGTCGTGACATGACGCCGTCTGTCACACGAGTGCGTTCTGTCTGTTCCAATAACTGTTGCTGCTGGCACTAATTTTGCACTGTTTGTTAGCCTTGCTGTGTTTTCCCTGCCGCATTAACGAGTCGTTCCCGCTTTTTTCGCGCTGGGTACTAGAAGCAAGCAAACTCTACAGAACTCACGTCTCGAAGCCCGAAATTCGCTATGTATTGAGGGGGGGGGGGGGGGGGAGGGTACAAGCTAGGGGTATACAATCAACCAGTTAGGGATATCACAAAAGAACTTTATACGATCTTGACACTTTCACTTTGAACTCATTTCCATTTTAGATGACGCAGATGTGTCAACGAAAACTTCCGTATAACTCACACATGGCAGGACATCAACGAATACATCGAATAATTAATGGCTTGACTTTTAGCTGATCTTTTAGTTTTGCACGAACTCCAAACAAACTTTCCGCTAATACTTGAGCTACTGCTGCTATCAACACTGACGATGCTGCTACTGTTGCGGCCGCTGTCAACGGCGGCAGCTGGGGATTTTCGCCCACGACGACACTGAGCGACACAGCGAGGACGGTCAATCTACAACAGAGACAACTGTACGACGACGATATTCCATCGTCCCCCACTACGAGCACTCTCAGCACTAACACTCACTATTCCACCGACATCAGCACCCACTGCCACCTGTAGAGTCCTGTCGTCTCACATCAACAGCGACGGCTGCACCCCTCGGTATTTTGGCAATTGCAACTATTCCACTACTGCAACTACTACTCGTACTGTTATATCAGCCACAGAAGTACAAATACCACATCAAAACTACTGCTGCAGTCGGTGGTGCTAAGTCGTCACAGGCAACAGACTGCCATCGCCACCTAGCGACGGAGCGACAGGCCGCAGAGAATACAGTCCGACGGATCGGTAATATCGTCCAAACATAGATAGACACACATACACACACACGCTCAGCAACAAACTACAACACCATCACTTCTTCAGCAGCTTAAACGGCTATTGCTGCTGGGGCTACGGCGACTCCTGACAACAGCAGCGTTACGCATGGGCACCTAGCGAGCGGCGCCAATATCGCCAACAACAACAAGTGAACGACCGACCAGGCCAGGTACAAGACACAAGCAAAAATATTAGCTGGCGCTGTAGATAGCGGCCAATACAAACTCTCACTAACAACAGCGCGCCTCCCCAGTCAGCACGTTCGTGTTTATTGTCGTTCATTTACTTTATTTATTTCGTTCCCTAAAGAAAGAGACGGTGCACTGAGTTGGTCTCAGTCGCGCTGGGTGCAGCCACGCTGTTGAAGTTCAGTCAGGCGCGGTAGCGGGAGAATTTAAATTGACCGTGTTACATTGGTCTATTTCGTAATAATAACAATAATAGGATTTTGTTAAACAGGAGACAGGGTTAAAGAAAAAATGAATCGTTCGAGCTTAGATAACTCTGTCAGTGCTGTTACAATAAAGCACCACTATTGTTGCTGGAGATATACGAGAACTAAATTTGTATTCGCGCATTGTAAATATAGCAGTTCTAAATCCAAATGGTCCAAAACGAGGTTTTCACTGTGAAATAAAGACTTGACTTTTCGCCTAACGACATGCATGTAGATCGCAATGCTTATGCGGTCTCAAAAATACACCGATACATCACGTTGATACATAACGAAATGAATAGTATTAAGGTTTAAATTAGTAGCAACATTGATACTATTCGTGCTTTTCTAATAAAGAGCATAAGTTCACTTTTTGGCGGTAATCATTAACTTGACGAGAACATACAAGGTTTTTGGGCATACACACCAGGGATCGTAGATCGAAATCATCCGAGATTTGCGAACTATTTAAATATGGCTACGTTTTGTCGACATACGCCGAAGTGTCCAGTATTGTACTTAGCGGATTCATGTAATGAGATAATCATAATGAAGTTACGCACAATAACATCTACGTGCATATGCCAGCGTTAATCATTGTGAGGTTTATTTCTGGGCGTTTTGTGGTCATGCGCAGGATTCAACTGTTTGATCATAGCGCGCACTACCAATACATAAACGCTTTGTCTTAATTAATTAAAAACAGCATTTGAACGCATTGAGAGCATCGACGCTTTCTTTTGTATGCGAAAGATGATTTCAGTAACATAATCTGCGTGAAACGATCACTCTACAAATCTTTGCACGAAAAGTATCGCTAGCAAAGCTGACATTGAATCGTTCGCAACCCGCTAAATCAGCGGTCTTTGGCTAAAAGTCTTTACGCTCATAGGGCCGGCGTTTTCGATTTAAAACATTATACGTGTGCATTTACAATCGATTTTGAAGGAACGATAAAGCTAAATCGCGTTGCACGTCGGGCCGCTTTCGGTACCCTTTGAAGCTCGAGGACGCATGTTCGCAAATGAGGAAGACGTCAACTGGCTTGCTTAGTCGACGGAAACAGCTGACCTTTCCATTCATTTAAGAAACCACTCGATATAATCGCTCGTCCCGTAGACTAATAATTTCTTTTCTCGGTAGACAGGCACGGGTGACGAGCCTCGTGCATTTGTTTGTATGTGTCGGTTTTCGAGACTTTGCACGCCCTGTTGAAGATCTTTATTCATCTTTCAGATTTCAATCGAAAATAACATCTAAGCCACGGTAAGCTAAATGAATAAACTTCGGGCGAACGCTGTATTCTTCATGCAATGGCAAAATGCCCGATAACTCTGATTCGAAATTGAACCTATCTGATCCAGACGGGTTTTAAGCACCTCTGGCACACAAAGCGTTCTTGATGAGCGCGCATTAATCAACTATATCATACAATGGCTTAACCGGCAAATAAATGTTACTTTGTTTAATAATAATGTCAAGTATTGTACTATATATAATCTGTTGATATTGACAGGTGATGTTGTGCATCTGAGAAGCCTTTTAAATTTCGTTTTTTCGTAAGGAGTCACCTGCAAATAACGTTATAATATAGAGAGCAGAGCGAGAAAGGATGGAATGTGATTTGGTGACGGCAAGGGGCTACTGTAACGATGCGAACCATAACCTCCCACTTATATAAATACCGAAATAACGTCTATAATAAAAATGTGAATATATTTCCGAAAGTAAGAGCAATGCATTAATCTGAATGACAAAAGCGCAGCAGTTGAATTTGCATAGCATCTATTTGCAGTAGAGCCGCCGTTATATATATATAGATATATATATATACAAAGGATTATCTTCACAGTGTTTATGTTGCTCTGAATTAATCTATATTTTTTCTAATTTTAATGTTAAGTCTCATTTTGACACGAAACGTCTTTTTTCTTCAATATACTAAGTTTCTTAGGGTGAGGGTTTAATTGTTTTGATCAGGAATGGTTGTTTCTGAGAGTAATCTGAGGGACCTTCTGAAGGCCTAGGTTTTTAGGCACAACGAAGGCAGGTCGAAAAAAAATGTTGAAATGGTGCAAGCTGATTTTTATGCTGCTTGAGATGCGCTTGTCGCTTTTCTTCACTTTTTCAGTGAGTTAATGTTTAACTAATTAGTCTTCGCGTCATAGAAGAGTGTAGATATACTGAAAAAATTGTATATTTAAAAGATATTCTTTTTAGAAATTATTATTGGGTTGCAAAAAATTCAAGCATATAAGTTGTACTTTCCAAATAGAAAAGCATACCGTGTGTTACATAAGTCTCATGACAACTTGACAAACCAACGATTACATACACATTTTCAGATGTCCGGATGTAGCACATCCGGTTCGGCTAACCCCACCATGTCCGACAAAGAGAGGGAAAGATTAATGAGAAAGCTGGAAAAGGAGACCGACGAATTCCTAGCCAGCCGAAAACAAGCAAAATATCAAGACGGTAAGGGATCCGCAATCATAACAGAGTGCCCATAAAAGACTCAGGAAATTTTTAGGGAACTACTTGCATTATGAACACGGAAAAATTGGAAACGTGTGGCTCATGATTAGTATAAGACATAAATAGCATATAGAACATAAATATGAAGAGGAAACGATTTTATCATGGTCGTAGGATTCTCTACGTCATGAAGTTATTGTTCTATGACAAGTAAACTGCACTTAATATATGGATTCATGTTATATACTAGGTTGTTATGAGTGAATACGATAGACTTTAAAATTAAATAACTTTTGAATTAGTTTAGCTAAAACGATGATTTTAATATGTATAAAGGGAATTCTTAATTTTCTATACTTGTCCCGGCGCTCTAACACCTTCTAAAGAAGCATATACCTATCGTTCGCGCTCCCATATATTTCAAAAAAAAGGGCTTCTCGAGTATTTATAGTAAGATGTGCTTGCCCATCAGTTTTTTTCTTTTTAGAACATGGAAAACTCGTAATCACACAAATCTAAGTCAGGAAAATAAGAACATTGAAATTAACACTGGGTGTACTTTAGCTTAAGTAATTGATGACGATAAGATCTTGCATTGCATGCCAACAGTCCATGAGTCTCTAAAGCTAAAAGCATTGATGCTTTCATTTTCGGCGAGTATTTCATAGTAGCGTATGCCGTTAACATCAATTTCAAGTACTACCGCCATTTTACGTTCAAACCTAGTCGAACGTACCACCGAACTTGGTTTCCTTCTACGTGATGCCATTTTCTCGCCTGGTCCTTCTCCGGCTATGCTTCAGGCAGGTTTTTATTAATTCAAGCTCCGCAAATTTCGTGTGGAATGCAGCACACGCGTTTCCAACTAACATAGATTCAATTTACGAAGAACCACTTTTCCTTTGGTTTTTTTCATCTTCATTTGGATTATAATTCTGTAACACAACAACACAATGTTTGCACTACAAACTCTATTTTTGTAAAATCTTCTTCGAGTGTTGCAACGTATTCGCGTCCTTCGGGTCTCAACATCTAGGTGTCTCCTCGCTGGTCTTCAATACTCCAGTTCCTGAAACGATTGCGCCCTTCATGTACTGTGCTTTCGCTTAGAGCATTACCTTTACGGCTAGTATCTTCACCAATTTTTAAAAATTTCCGCAGGGCTATTATCTTCCTAACCTAACCACTGATAGTGATGACTTTCGAAACTAAAAAATGCCTTTTCCTTCTGAACTAATTTCCCCTGAAGTAAACTCAAGTATTTTATCAGCCAAATTTCATCTGCTATTGGCACGTAGCTCAAAAGTGATTCTGTTTCAAAGTCCACCGGATTCGCTTACAACACCCTAATATGTATGTGTATACATTCATATTTATACGCGAGAGCTAATGCAATTGTATCGTTCCCTTTCCCTAGGCTACATCTCTTCTGGTTTGTAATGAAGCATAACAAGTACTTATAGATTATTACTGACAATCGCAGTTTTCTCATCTTAACTATTTAAATTATGATGCAATTTGCTACTGTAACTCAAAGTAAGAAATAATGTTGTTACCGTTATGTTTATTGTTTACATAATAATATTTCTGGCAACTTCATTAATTCTGTTTAACTTGCAAAATAGACAAAATGTGTAGTTATCCTTCGTATGTCGTTACAATGCGTTTCAGGATGGAAAGAGCAGTCCTGGGAGAAAGAAATGGCTGATCATCCATTATTTGCACAGCAGCTTCCAGATGGTGCAACTAGAGGAAATTTACCTCCTTTGTTAGAAGCTTTGCGTCAGGTTAAATACGACGAGGCGGAAAATTCGCCGGAAGAACTGGCGAGAAACTATAAGGATGACGGGAACCATCTGTTTAAAGAAAAAAGCTACCGGTTTGTTACTTTTGTTTTACTTGCCGAAACTTGGTTCATGTTATGTGAATTAATCATTGATAAACTAGGTTTGCAACAGTTTGTGCATCTATCCAAGAAAATCCCCATCGAAGAACCTAGACAATTATTAGCCTCCGTTGTTTTTAAACACTAAACGTATTGACATCTGTTGTATACCTGTTTTTAGATTACGGTCAGATTTACGGATAGTTACAACTTTAGTGGTAATGCACGCCTATGGACGTAAACTGCGTGTAAAGACCACTCGACCTACAAATTTCCGCAGGTGTGTAATAAACTGATTATCATACCATATAAACCGTAGCTAAAAAGTTCGTTTTCAAATTATCGCAGAGCTGCAGTGGCGAGTTACTCCGAAGGGATCTATCAAAAGACTCTAAACCAGGAGCTCAACGCACAACTCCATCTTAACCGAGCAGCGGCTCAATACCACCTGGACAATTTTAACGCGGCCCTTGACGATTGTATATTGGCCCTAAAGTTTAAGCCTAACTACGTTAAAGCCATGTTGAGGTTGGTAATATTTTTTTTGCAACACAATATGCGGAAGCTTATTCAGTCATATAACAATTGTCTTGAGCCATATAAAACACATTTTATGAAATCTGTGCAGATAGCAAAACAAGGCCATTGTGGCTGTTGTTAAATAATTCAAAATAGCGATTCAATTAATTGTAGTTTTAACGGAAGAACAAACATGTTTCTGAGTTTACTTCCAACAGAAAGGAAGCTATGACCTGACATACGCATAATATCGTCTGGATTAATCAAATCTATTTCCAATGCTGTTCCTAGTTAACTTCTAAGACGGAATTTCTGCTAATTGCTCTAACGATTTTTTCCTCTTCCGTATTGTGCAACTTTTTTTCGCTAGGAATACGATATTATTAAGCAGTTACTAACAAATTATAGCCATATAAATGTGGAAATTTTAGTAAATATGTCGTCATTTTTTCTTTGATGTCTTGTCTTTTTGATCTGTTACTAAAGAGCTGCGCAATGTTGTTGGCAACTACGTAAACTGCACGAGTGTATTAAATTCTGTGTTCAACTAGAGGAAGCGGAGGGAGCTCAGAGTGTGCCTAGCGCTGCTCTTAAGGAGGCCCGAGAATTGGTAAACAGAGTCGAGAAGGAGCAAAAACTTCAGGAGAGAAATCGTCGAAAACGTGAGAAGGAGCTGCGCGAACGGCGCCAAAAAAATGAGGTGAGTTAATATCCCACTTCTGAAAAAATCTTCGAGTGAGTAGACACTACTACATGGCAAAATGTCATTTTAGGCCAATACCTAACTAAGATGACGTGTTGTTGACGTGAGAAGGATGTTGTTTTAGACAACATAAAAAACAGCATTATTACGCTCGGAGCCCGTTTGATGGCCAATATCCACAGTCAGTAAAACGTAGACATTCAAAGTATATATTTAACTACTATCATTTAGAATGTCTCATAAGGTATGCATTCTAGTCATTATAAAATGCAAAAATCTATATTGGTTTTTTCCAGCCACAGATTGCCACGCCCCCATTATGACACAGGGGTTAACCATAAAGGTAATCACTGGCTTGTTTAAATGCTTTCTCTCAGAGGCTCTGGTTAGCTCAACATCAAACCAGGATATCAGTCACGATTTTAAAGAGCATTACATTGTCATAGCTTATGTTTGTTTGACGAAACGACTGTATAGCCTGGTTGAGTGGTGCCACGATTTGTATAACTTTCGACTGCATCTTTAATCGAGGTACTACTGCGTGCCAAGTGTTTACCCTGATAACAAGGCATTAATGTCATTCCGTTTGGACATCCACCGCTAATAGTTTCCATCTGTTTTACCAAATAATATGTATGTAAACGCTTTTATTCTGCCGTTATGTTAGGAGCTTGCTGTTGCAATCGAGAAGGCTAGGGTTACATTAGTACCTGCGGCCGAAGAAGGTGAACTACTTCCAAATTTAACTCCTAGGTTCCCTGCATTACGAGATTTCGCCGTTTCGTTGGAGAGCGACGTTAATGAACCAGGACAGAAATGCCTTGTCTGGCCGGTAGCCTTGGTCTATCCTGAGCTTAAGGAGACGGACTTTGTTCAGAAGTAGGTTATCCTATATGTTTTAAGAAATAGTAAAGTTTAGTGGAGCAAGTTCTATTCAATGGTTCATGATAGTAAATTAAATTCTAGGAATACGTAAGCTCCAAAAACCTACGGTATAGCAGAGATCAAGTGATGTTCAGATGTCAGTAGTAGTTAACTGCCTACGAAGAAAAATATTTACGATAATGGTTTAGCAATTTGGGAACGGACATGGAGTCATTTTAATAACTTTCCATGAATGGATGATCTTGTGTATATACCCCGATCAATGTGCTAATGGGTATTGTTTTACAGGTGGAGTGAAGGCACGACATTTTCAGCAATATTCGATGCCATGTATCAGGGCCGCCCTGCGGAAAGGCCCGTGATTGGAGATGAGGAGAACAACACTGTTATTGTATATGATCCGGCCAAGCTTCAGGTGCGAATATAAAAATATCCTGTTCAGCCATTGACATTTTTTTGAGCTGACATCAATCAAAGTCTTCGTGGGCGGAAATTCGATTTTTACTTCTAAACCAATGAGAAGTGAGCTCAATCTGATGAATTTGGCAAGGTCTCTCAAACTGATACATGTATACAATAGTTTTTTGTTAGTTTATTTTATACTCAAAACTCTAGTGTTTTAGCTGTAAGAAGCACTACTATGATGAAGAGACATGCAAAGACCGAAAATCTTTAATATCGATTCGGGAAGGATTCTAATGAAACTTCGACTTCATTATGTTTTCAGGTATGGTACAAGTCATCAAAGAACGATAAACCCGTTGCGGTACGTGATAAGAGCAGTTTACGCCAAGTACTCGCGCGGAAAGACTGCATCGTCGAAGATGGAGTTCCCTCGTTCTGGGTAACGCGCAAGGGCTCCGAGGCCGAGAAGGACCTCCTAAACCGGCAAGGCATCTAATGTTATTATACAATTATAGTTATAATTGTTGACCAGCAACGCTTCCGTGAAAACAAATTATCGATGATGCGCAGTGGAGGAGATGCATATTATCGTACGTTATCATAGAGGCTATGTCCACTAGGTACATTACCAACAAAATATTCAACTCAGACCGTCAAAACGCTGCTAATATTCTGCAGCTCTTCTTCAGCTTTTGCGTGATATTGTTGGTATTGACATTATTAATATTGATCGAGCGAAAACAGAATTATTAAATGAAAATTGAGTAATGGATGTTATATGGGGTTTGCTTTCATTACAGTAGTGCCATCGAGAGCTTTACTGTATAGGTAGATGCAATTATGCTGTGGCATAATGAATTGATTGTTGATGATACAATAACGTAACTGCATACCGTTCTCCCGTGTGGCCCGGGAACCACTGGTATAATCACAATCTGTGTGTGTATATATATGAGTTGTTACATCGATAATATTTATTGCAAAGGCGGATGCTGGCGGATGCCAATTTTGTTGGGATCCATCGCACAAAGCACACATCTTTACTACCGTATGATTGTCTGCAGAAATAGGCTAACTAATAAACGCCTCATTGTTGTACGCCATTAATCACAATTGAAGGTTTATTTGATTACCTACAATTGGTTATTTCTTCTGAAATAGGTTCACCACGGAAAGTAAAGACAACTCGCTGTGTTTATATTCCACAGTTATATTCAAAGTATTCAGTATATTTACGTGGACAGTATATCCTATTTTGTGTTAATCTAACGATGATATAATTAAGTGTTAATTGCTATCTGGCGAATTCGCCGTTAGTGTTGCGTTGTATTGTGCTGATATAGTCAATTCAGCTACTTAACTATTTACGCGATTTAATTAACACGATTTTGAGCTACGAATTTACTGTGAACGAAAGCTCCAAAACTACTGTATAATTGTGTGGTGTTGATTAAAAAAAACAGAGCGACAAAATGCAGAGATCGTGAAGCTTAGCTTAATCTTGTATTCCTGTTCTTATTCATAAATATATGAATCTTTCTTCATTTGTGCGCCTCTTACAATTATGTCGTTTCCCATAATGTTAATAGTACAAATGCGAGAAACGGTGTAAAAAATGATACTATACACAGATGAGTTATAAATAAGTCATTAGAAAAAAATGATAGATCGCAGTTTCAATCATACAGCCATAGACTCGTCGTAGAAAATTAGGTATACCGACTGAAAAAAAATTGACTCTACATTTTTTGGATGAACGATTAGTTTTACGAAGTGCGTTGTAGCAATTTATGTGCATTAACCTACCTTTTAGAAGGGTCATGGCGAGCCATCTGACGCGGCCCTTACAGTAACCAAAAGCCCTGAAGTGCATATGACATTGTATATTTGTAATAAGACCAATAATTATCTATTGGCCTTTCATTGAGTCTCAATTCGCATGTGTCCCGTTTTATATGAAAATAACTTATAACTTCTATGGAGACTAGAATCGCCCATCGAATGTCTTTTTTTATTGTGGCGATAGCTTCCGAGCCCACAACTGAGCAAATTCATACCCTCCAAGATACCGGATCTCTTGCTTCCTCTTATATGAATTGTTTAATCTAACCCAGAATTTAGGCAGTAAACAAGCTAGCTAACGCAATAATTATACATAACAATGGCTCTCGTCATTCTATCAACCCTGATGCATTTCGAGGAGATATACTAGATATTAAGAAATAGTAATGTTTGTTGTTACTTATTCTGTAATCACGATTTGGCCGCCATTGAAAAGCGTTTAAAAACCATCCTAAAAGCTCGTTTCAATGCATACGTAGATATTCTTCGTATTCATATATTCCATCGACATACTATACATAGATAATACATTTGAAAACAGCAAGATAGCTTTGGATTAACACTTTTTGATTGTCAGGTCAAAAATTTCCTGATTGGTACGTTTTCGTTTCTTTTCTGCTTTAAATATTCTGAAAATACATTATCCTTGCCGCAAACTGCATATATTTTCAGCCAAGAGATGAGGCCTACAATACAAATGATCATATTTATTCGCATTTCGCATGGCTACTATGAAGATGTTGTGACATCCTATTATCTTTTAGCAGGGCTAAAGTCTTCAGGTAGTTGTGCCTAATCTAACCACTAAGACCATTACTGCCATAGGGATTACTTTACGTTGCGAGTGATCAATCCTAGCTACACAGCAAAACTGCTACCGCCAGTCCATGAAGTTGAAGAGTTATAGAAATTCACCAACTTTTAAAGATAACAGGCAATCTACAAGTGGCTAATGTGCAACTAGTTCCATCGGAACTATCCCTTAGCTCCTTTTGTTGGCTCCTGCCTTCCTCATTAAAAAGGGATGTGTACTCAAAAGCGCCAGGAGCACTTCGCAAAACGGGTATTCCGCAAGGCCAATAGCCGATTTTCCCAGGAAACTTGCTTCCAATTGGCAATATAGATATACTTAACAAGCTTTTTTTTTACTGACAAGTGGATTTTGGGAAGTTTATCATGGCTAACCATAGTCTTTCCATTGACCTGACCAGAATGGGCGTTCATGTGATTGTTGCCCTCACCAATTGTCGTTGACACACTGACAGTAAATATATTGGGTAAGATAATCGGTAAATAGAAGGCCTGTAGAAGTTGTTTGTGGCGCAGCCTCGATGGAAATGACATTGTTATTATTAATTTGTCGTCATTTAATATCTATAAAGTAGTATATCATACGTCCCCTCTGGGTTCTTTTACTGTCTGTGAGACAAAAAAATAGGATATGGAGCTGTTTGTCGACTTTAAGTTATGGTTAGTGGCAATTAGCTTATTCTGTCTATCAAAGCTACCTGAATATATATACCGGTGTATATAATAACATGCTGTTATCTTTATGCAGGACTATAAAGAGAAGTTCCGTACTTTCAATGGGATGTTCCTATTGTAACTAGTATTTGAAAATGATCACTATACAAAAGTATAACGATATAAGCCGCCCGCTAAGTTGGTTTCCTAGCGCGCATGTAATTGCTTCGAAGGCAAAAACATGCTTCCTTTATTTCATCATGCATAGATACGGTATAAGGATAAACGCTAATTGCTTCATTCGACTCGCATAGTTCTGCCTCTGAACACGCGCTCTTTAGCTTCTGAAACATTGATTTATGCTAATATTTGGCCAGTGCCGCAGTGCTTCGTAGCTGTGTTTATGAAACTATTAGGATGTCTCAAATCTGTTTGCTTTACTTAGCATTTTTTGATATGTACACATTCGAAAAGCTGAAGCAGCCCAAGCATCGATATGGGTGCATTGAAATATAGCACAGCACACATAAACGTGCGAGATATGTCAGCAGTAAAATTAAATTGTGTTAACTTTGACGGTCAGAAACGCCAGAATCTGTTTCGTACAGATAACATAACCTACATTTTATTTTGGCTAATTATAAATGTAGCATTACCCATTACCGCAGGACTACACTAACAGATCCGAAAATGTCTTGATACATCAACAAATACGCGGTCCGAAAAAAATGGCTGAATATCATATGTTCGTTTATCTAGTTTACTAGTACCTACTATTACTTGTCTAACTCTTCTTTATACATTGTTGGTCTGGGACGGTGCATTTTGCCGCCTAGATTGCTTTTCTGAGACATGTCTGCACCTCAACAGCGGCAGTTTTAAGGTAACCGTCAATTAGTTTGGTCTAACCTGTCAACGACGCCGCGCTGATGATGTAGTTTAGACGATGATCCTGTACCTCAGATGCAAAGCGTCTCATTTGGCTTAACTGTACTATGACTAGCAGAGAAAATGCTGTACTTTATCGCTCTGTAATCAATAAAAAACACATAATTAAATACTTAATTGAACGATGTTCCTATTTCGACATTAGATAAATAGATTTCGAATGATATCATCAGCGGTTCTACTGGCATAGTGTAAACAATGAAATAGACATACATTTGACGTTAGAAGCAATAGAAGACTGCACGACGATACTCCATTATTCAATTCATTTCGAGTTTACTTCAAACAAACTACTAAAACACCTCTTAGATTTGTGCTGTTTTCATTTGCGCACTGGAAAGTTGCTTGCCGATAATACATACTGCAATACTCCCCCTAGGACAAGAAGCGCTTCGAAGGTTTTGATCATTTGAGATTCTGAACTTAACACAGACCTGTAGCCGCAGACAGGAAAGATACAGTTACCGTATTGGCCCCAGACAGATCTGTTAGCGTCGGGGAATCATATCTCATCCTGCTTCACCCGCTGCTAGTTTCCATAGAGCTCTGAGTCGTGACTCGAATGTAGTGATGACTCCGCCGCCGCCGACAGCCATGTCTTAGTAATGCTTTAAAAAAAAAACACAGGCTAACTTAGGCCAAGTGAATACGTGTAGACATGAACTGATGTGGCCGGCCGGCGATAAAACGTCACAGATTTTGACGTACTTGTTCATAAATTTGGATCGTATATAATCGCTGTGTAGGCAAATGTAGGCTTCTTAGGCCAAGATCTTCGTGAGGTAACGCTTTCTTGCACGAAGCTTGTGATCTTGTTGGCTCCGCAAAAAAATTATTATTTCGATCAAGTTCGCTTCGGGCGTTTTGGCGTTTCTGAAAAAATGCTTCGCGCAGAAGCGCTACGCTGTCGACAGTTTCAAACTATTAAAAGATCGCCTGGGTACACATAAGTGAAATTATTCGCACCTATTTATTAGGCCGTGCCTAAAATACACTTGTAGTATATAGGCAATGCTACGATATATTTCGCTCGTATTAAAAAGCCTGAAGAACGCACATTTATTTACCTATAAAAGGACCGGTGATGTCAATATGTTTGTTACGCCGACGAAACTACTTCAGTCGCGAGACAAAGTTCTCAGTCGACGGAGCTGTTACTTTCATCACTTCCCGAGACCAAAAACAATGGACCAACAACAATCTAAAGAAAAGCGTGTTTGCCGAAACCATTGAAGTGACACGATATCACTAGTTCTGTTTAGTTCAACGTACCTTAGCTAAATGAAAACAAAGTATATCGGTCGTTATTGAGGTCCAGACCTTAAAGGTTCGGCAAGAAACTAGGTGAAGATAATAAGATGAAGAATAAGAAATACGGTGAAGATACAGGCGCTTTAATTACCACTAGAACCATTTACCTTAAAGCTAGAATGGACTTCAGTGATCGAACACATGGATTGCTAATTAACACATAATAAAATATGTTTATATCCAAAAATCAATTTGTAATTTTAGAGCTATCAATTTTACATTCAACTTGACGCCTGTAAAAAGCAAAGAAGAGAAAAGGTATAGAATATACCAATAAGATACCACATTATGTGTTACAACCCATTTGTATTATGGCAACCAATAAATAAAGTTTAATACAGTATAAGAAGAATAAACAAACCATATGAAATTGTCAATTATGTTTTAATCGAAGACAATTTCCTGAATTGTGTTTCTATTACGATGACTTTTCGAGATCGTTTGTTTGTAAAGCTGTCCGAAAGCCGAAGTACACGTGTATTATTCCCCAAGAAAATTCATTTGACTGTTTTAATCTAAAAATAAACTACGATGCTAATACGACCTTAGTTACCTCCGTAAGCACGCTAGAGGTCGCGTCTTTTGTCATTATAAACACACTAGCATGTAGAAAAGTTCCACAAATCGTGATTTTTTTTATCACCGTTGACCTCAATCATAGCCTTGTTTTTATTTTTCATAAATCTCAAATAAGTCACAATCAAGGTCATGGATGAGTCAGGAAAAATCACAGTCAAGGCATGTATCGTTAATATTGTGGTTAGTTAGAGTTAACATCTAGTAACTTTTCGTACTTGACTATACGTTCAACTTTTTGAATCTATTACATTATATTACATTTTAAGAAAATTAGCTTAATAACTTAGAGCTCTAACGTGATACGAAAAATCATATTTCATGACATTATAAAAAAACCTTAAAATTAAGATGCTTTTACGAAAGCAAATGTAGAACGAGGGCCAGTCTAAGACGAAACAACAGAGCCTGAAACGCAAGTGAAAACTTAATGCAAATCCAAACTAAGACCAGCACTGAATATATCACATCTGAATATCTAATAGAAATATGCGTTACAACGAAGATATGGTATAAACAATACAGGTAGTGCTTGACAAAGCAACGCGCGCGCAGACAAAGCCCATCCTTCGCGGCTGAAGCTATTGCAAATTTAGTTACGTGAGGAGTTTTCTGAGGTTGCACTTTTGTATACTGTTACCCACTTCACTTTGAACATTGTTGAAATCAAATCAACTTCTGCCTGATATTGGCCATCAATTACTTGATGCTACCTAAAATGTGACGTACGCCGCCAAGATCTGTTGTGATATAAAAATTAGAACGCGCTTCATTCACAAGGTATGATATTGCAAATTAAGAATTCGTTACACAACATTATTACCCTTCGCGCACGGGTCGGTGCTAAGAAATCTTTATCACTACAGAGAAAAAAGAAATTTAAAGTTTTAATCTATATCAGACCATCAAACAGGACCTCTGTATAAAATCATCAGCTAGCCATTTTCAGCACAACGTGTCTTAGTAGGATGCATTATTGGCATTAGGCTCTGAATATTTTATACGCAATTGGACGCAGAAAATAAGGCTCCTCAATTAGCTAAGTATTGCCGCCACGGTCGTCGAAACGTTTTCATTGGGTCGCCACTCTTAGTACGCCTGTGTAGGAAGTTTAGCAAATTCGATCAGCATCAACGATAAGACTGGCTTAGTCTGTGTCCTCTGGGTACACTGGATGTTGCCACTGGTGGAAAGAGCATTTAAAATTTTCCAAATTATTATAAGCATTTTTAATAAGGCCTCTATGCAACGGGTTTCAAGCATAAGAAGACAGGATCTCGTCAACACCTGACAGCTAAATTTTTATTTCAACCCCTTCTCATGGTGGGAGTATAGCTATACATACTTGCTATAAGACAAATCTCCTTTGGATTAGAATGAGCTGAAACTGTTTGTACTTTAATAGGATTGACTCCGTTTATCTGAATTCGGTCACCGTCAGTTGCCCACTGGCTAAGAATTAGGTACCTAATTACCTGCCACGTTTACCCCAACGTTCCCTAGCTTTAAATAATTTCATTACCTTTCCTTTTCATACGTTTCGGTAAATTCGATTGTGATTCACTTATTACTTTGAACAAAGTCTACAAGCTCGGGCTACCAATTGTTGTCTTAAGTATTCTAACTGTGGACGTATTGTAAGAACGCCACGGCCGATAACTGCAACCCAATGATGAACCAAAAACAGACTTTGGTTACTAATACAATGCCTGTCGCAGGTGTTGCTGATGAAAATCCGTTTCGATCTGCCGTCTTCTCTGATAACGAGAGCTCCAAGCTGAGGAGCGTCAGGAACAGTCTCCAAATGACCTATGCTATCGGGCCCCGAACAAAAAAAAAAAGGCATAACCTATGTTGTGGGTAGACCCATGTCATTCGCCCCAAATGGACATGGGATAGCTGGGTATATTTTGTTTGCTCATTTGGTGCCACCTATAACACAACTCCAAGAGCTCATCAACAAACAAAGTTTATGAAAAGGTGATGTAGAACAACATGAAGAAATAATTATACCACATGAATTTTTAAAGCCCACAAGGACAAAGATTTTTTAAACGCTTGAACTGGGTACCCTTAACTGAATAGCGTTCAAAAGTAAATTGATTGAAGATACAGCCAACGAACGTACAGGTTATAATGCTAGTCAAATAAGATCTATTAGCCAGATGGTAATTAGTTGGAATTTAGCAGGTGTGCGTTATTTTTAAATAATGTGTAATAAGTACGATATTTAATGAAGACACTGAATACGACATAATCAGATCGGAACGTGACGTTTTTTATTAGTATTCCGAAGAATACGATTAATCACTAGATTTCAATGAAGTTCCTTTATATTCGGTCTAAATTCTGGTTACATTTCAGGTCTGCACTATGTGTATTGAAGGACAAATAGTCCGTCAATGAAGATCCGAAACAAAACGCTATCGTCCGAACACTCACGCCGGCATCACATAAGACCCTACATCACGTTGCGCTAACATTTTTTTTGCTAGCTCTGGATTAATTCAGAGCTAATACCTCATAATATAATAAAAATGATGCTAAAGTAATTTAGTGCGCTCAATAGACTGAGAAATATCTTGTAAACTTTCCTTAGAAGATATAATGTAAACAACATAATGTTTAAAATTGAAGCGCCATATTTATATAGAAGAAAAATTTCAAAAGAACATCAGTTTTCTTTAAATACATATATAAAACGACAGCATACGTAATCAAATACACGTCAAAAGATCCGAACTTGGAAAAGAACAAACATGTTTACAGAAAAGGTTTAATTTACAGGTAGACAAATTTTGTCTATATACATGAATTCGTTATGCTGCTTCCATGAACTAATGGTCTGTCGCTTAATAATAGCACATACTTCAGTCAATTCAAGTCTCTTTTTAAGGTCCTATTAAAGCAGGACCGTATACGGCTGTGGCGGCCGATTAACACCGCTATGGAACCGGGGCTGCGTTGTATACGGAAAGCCAAAAGGGCCGGCCAGGATACGAGCATGGGTTGAAGCATATCCGTATATATGCGAACCAATGCTGCCGTAGGTGGTCGTATAAGCTTCGGGTACCACAACCTCTTGTGCGCTGACGGCGTGCACCCATATAAAAAGGGACACAAAAACAAACTGCATAACGCTCCTGGAAATAACGAACACTTCAATAATTAAGTAAGCCAGCGAATATAATAAAGTTCCAGCTAAAATAGTGTGCGTATATCACTCAATTTCGATTCAGAACAACAACAAGAGCTGTAAATATACGTTTCTCACATAGCGAAAACAACTGCTTTCACGTTTATCGCCTTAAGTAGTACTAGCGACATCTCCACAAAACTCCGTCCAGATTTAGCGAACGCTCAAATATCAACGGCAGATTGCGTCAATTCAGTCGCGTCTTTGACTGGTACGAGAGTATCGTATGATTACGCTTAAATATTTGTCTCGTCTTAATAAATTACTCTGTCCTTCTGTAGGAGATCAAGCAGGGAAAGGGAAATACAGCCAGGGAATACCTGGGCTCATCATTTTATTTTCCAGAAAAGGGTTGAAATGGCCTCGACATAGTAAAATCTTATCCACGTTTCGTTTCAAATACGCACGAGATATAAATCATTAATAAAACATTCATAGTCATAGAGGTAACTAATGCGGCCGCTAGACCGCTATCAAACGAATATCTAGATTTATGGTTACCGTTACGATTAGAGCAGTCTGCTTTTTCCATACGGCATATCTGCTCTGATCTTCTTACGTTATCCTCGACCCGTTCCTATATCTTTGGATGTATAAGCGTTTTTCTATCTTCTTCAATAGTTTTTATAAACGACGACTACGCTTCGAGCTATGCTAATTTCACCCAGTAACGATCAGCTGAACGAGAGATGCGCATTAATATAGTACTATGTTGGATATGCAACACTGAGCTATAGAAGCTTATCGCTGGTATAAAAGGTATAGCTGACAATATCTACTATATCAAAAAAATACATACAAAAAATGAATTTTATAGTCATTATAAACTTCCATGAATTCGAGCGAATCCTTAGCAGATACTTCCTCTTTACATTAATGTTTTTTTTTTTCGCGAAAGGGCTTACGGTAGTTGTACATAGCACTGCACAAATCAAGCTTCTTCACATGGATTCGTTCTTTTACCTGAACCTCTTTGCTTTGTTCTAAGTAGCAGGTTAAAGCTAAATTCGGGTAGTATAGCAGTCATAGCTCCTACCATAGCAATATGTATCGAAACGTACCTAAGTCTTTTTACGCATGCTGTGTTTTTAATCAGCTTGGACATGTTTCTATGTTGGGCAGTTTTCGAGATGCCTCCAAAACTAAGTAAATGTAGACAACAATCGAGCGCAAACAGATTTCACCGATTTAAATTTTAACCCAACAACTTAACGGAAAATGGCTGCCGGTAGTGGAAGGCCTGGAAACAAATATCGGTAGTCGCAAGGACTTGAATTTAATTTCTCCGAACCTTTATTGTGTAAATCAATGGTTTATATATAGGTCACCGTTATTGCTCGCTGTTCCTTCAGTAGACCTTTACCGAGCGGCATTTTAATGCAAATATGATGTGCAAGTATCGCCAGTGAAAAGATACGCTTTCCAGCTGTTCTGCGCGTTACGAATTTGTCGAACAATCGATAGAAAACTTGAATATATATATTGTGATAACAGTCCTGCAACACGGTAAGAGCGGTTGATGCCGTCCTTAGCTTTGTCCTATTTCGATGTTAAGCGATTGTTGGCTCTATTTAGACGACGTGTTATTGTTAAATGGGCCAAAAAAGCCATGCTATAATACACGAGAAGACTTGTACTGCCCGACTGCTGCAATATTAAATAAACGTCCTCAATCACGTTCTGCAATTCAAAGGTTTGTGGTTGAAAGTAAATTAATTTAAAGCGTTTTTATATTTCAATTGCACAGTCCGTTCCAATTGCTTCTGTAGTTGGAGGATTCAATTACAATTTGATGGTTGATGTTTTTTTTTTTAAATTATTTTTGGTCTCAAAAATATAGCTCATCTCAGTATAACCAGTGCAGATTCATACGGTTTTTATGGCACGCTTCGCTCTATTTTCAATTTAATTATCTTTAAATATGTAATTATCCAGATAAATCAAACACAACTAATTCCCTTTAACAATCTCATCCTATTCGAAGTTAGAAGAAATCCATTCGCCAATTTCAAACCCGAAATCAAAGAACTGAGCTAGTCAGGACACCAATACGTACGTATAACCTGCGCTCGTTTGAGTCTAGGGCAAGTTGACTTGGGGTACGCCGAATGATATCGCTCTCTACCGCATTACCCCAAAAAGGTGTAGTTACATTATTATAAAATACTGTCCAAGTGTGCATATGTAACAATATCCCTATCCGATTTAAGGGCACAACGCACTAATGACGTTTTTCGTTTCGGAAGAACGAAACGGCCAAAGTTCCACATGTAGCTTATTATATCCGATGTAGTCGGCTATATATATATATATCGGACAGTACGGCAATTGTAATAAATATAATTTAACAACCATATAATACCCTGCTATAATAACACGTAGCAGCCTTTATAACAGTTAATGTTAGGTTCGTGACCTTCATGATCCTGTCAGCTAGAAGCTGAGCCCGAAATCGCTATGAACAATAAGTGCCCAATCCCGGTTTGGTAGCAAAGGTTCAGTAAAGCTTTTGCACATTTTCTGCTTCTTAGACTTCTGCTGGATGCGAATTGGCTTTCGTATCGAAAAAAAAAAAACCTGTATAGAAGTGTTTGAATTTTTAAGAGATACAAAATCTAGATTTTGCTTTGGTTTATATAGTAGCTACCGAGCTACGTCCCGACAAACTATGCTTCTTTTCTCTGTCGTTGTTAAGTTATAACTTCACGTTGAGCTTGGCTGCCGACAAACGCTTAGTACATGGTAAATCATAAAATCTATTCTAAACATTTTTAAACATACATGTTTCTATATTAGCTTTGTTTGTAAGAGAGACATGTCAACGCTTCTATAGGTTGCTTTAGGCTTTAGGTTGGCAACTTTAAGACTTTAATTATAGTTCATCTACCTACGTAATATTCTAAGAATTATATATATATATATATATATAGAGAATTATTATTAAAAAAATTATTCCTGAAAATTATTAATTATTAATCCTGAAAAAATGAATCACTATTTAACTCAGGAAATTTATGCAGCACAACATGTCCATTAAATGTAGTCATTCAAGATCACGGGGGCCGCAATTATTATTTCCACCAAAAAGTCAAGTAATTGAATTGTGTAGACATTAAATCGAGCATATTAGTCCGCCATCGCGTACAAATATCTAGTAATAGTTCGTTGCCGAGCGGTACACTATTCTTCATTATGGCAATGGGAATTCTCTATCCGCTGATGTGCAAACGAAAAAAACACGTTTCTTTGTGATGCCTATGACATCTTCTAATTATACCAATTATGTGAGATGAACAGTTGGATCGTTACTCAGATCTCCTTGCCCGGGTTGTACCGACTATCCAACTCGACAAGTGACGTTGCCGTACGACAATCAGCTACGTTCGGCAGTGCAAGTTTTCTAAATGGACCTCATTGCCATGCTCTAGAGTTCGGAAAGCGGACGTGGCGCGACAATAGGTAAAAGTCCGACTGCGAGTCATTTGTTTCTGACGCGCTCCGCAGGTGCTATTGAGTAGTTGAAAAAAATAGCGGTTTTATGGTGAGCCTCTGCTTACTTCGGTTGAACAGTACAGTACGGCTGTTTCTGCCCTCTCCCGTCTTTGTTTCGCCTGTCACATATAAGATCCAGCTAGCCTAATTCTACTTCTAATTTTGCAGCAGGTGAAGCACTGATCTGCTCGAAGCACTGATTTTGATCTGGCCAGAGTTTAGTCGAGTCGTGCAACAGACGAGCCTGAATCAGTGCCAGCAGTTATTATCTAACAAAAGTCTAAGCAACTGGCGCGCTTAGCCGTCGAAGAAGTTGATCTTCCTCCAGCTGACGAATCGATCGACTCTTGGTTCCGAAGGTGCGGCCGGAACAGCAAAGAAGGTGAGGGAGGGAAGGCCCAGCGGAAGGGCGTCTAGGCAGCCAACTAACCACTAACTCTGTTTGTCCGTCTGCTGCTGCCATCCATAGGGACAACTCCGATAGTCTCGTTTGCAATTTATCTGTCACGACAACGCCTGGCTTGCCATCGGATCAAAGTACTGAATTCCGAACGCATACAACCAGGCCCGGCGTGACGACACTATCCGACGAAGCGTTCAGAAACCAATGGACGCTCCGATCACCGAGTCGCACGAACGGAACTCGTTTGTCAAACTCCGTGTATGTGTAGGTGGGTGTGCGTGCGTTGTGCTGTAGTGCGGCGGTCAGGTCCTCGAGGAAACCTACGCGATTTGGTGCTAACGGAGTCAACACTGGCCAGTGCTTCAATCCGACGGGAGAATGGTAAAGAAGATGATAACTGACTTTTGTTTTTGAAGGAGCTCATACGGACTCATTTGGCCAAAGCCCTTTACTCTAAATGCTCAAGTAGATTTCTTCGTTGAAAATTATAACGTTCGTTTGTTGGCAAGTAGCCGGCGCATTTGTTGTCCAGCTATGATTTCCCTATGGGAAAAAATACGCTCTATCAGGGAGCTCGCACTAGTTTCATAAATTCGCTACAAAATATCGTTTATAACACGCTGTAGCAGTCGAAATTAATCTTAATGTCTGTTGACCCGCCTTGGTAAGGTTGTTCTTTATAAATAGCTTGACGTTTTTAGTTCGGCAAAAGGCACGCCCTGTTCAAAAACACACTCGGTGGAGATGAATAGGAGATAGAACAAACTAAGATCGCAACTGTCCTACCGCAATGTAGTAGGCGATAGAACGGATCACTTCCTGAATTCCTGAACAGTTGTCTAGGTACTATTATGTAAACAAGCTGGCAAGTCATATTTGTGCGCTGATTAATTACAACTGAACGTTACAGAATGTACTCTGCGTTACCATTCCCGTGGAATCCGAACAAAATGGCATATAGGTTAGTGATCCAAGCGGCCATTTGCGGTCCAGTAAATCTCCACAATGGGAAAAGAAAGGCTGTGTGAAAGAGAGCGTCGTGCAATTCAATCGAACTCACAACTAGCTACGTATTACAACGCCTACGAAATGCTTATGCCAGATATAGCTCTAGAGAGCAGCCCAGGCTCCCGGGCATCCGTGCAAACCTAGCACTATACAAAACGAACATTGGCCGGTAGAAATCACTTCTTGGCGACTCCGGACGGCTGTGTATTTTTTTGCTCTGATATTCTCTCGGAATAATAATGTAGCTCTTTCCGAAGCTTGTCGTCAACAGCGCCAATAGCAGTGCCAAGCATCAAAGCCAACCCCTCGCTACTGAAGGGTGCCGCTGTCGAAATTGTTTAATTAAGCCTATGCCCGGTTCAACGTATGCATTTATGCGTGTTGTGCACCCCTCTCTAGAGTGCCGTTATATAGGTGATGTCGGTAGGATGTCTATATCTTGAACGTCGATTACGTGCCCAGGCAGAAAAAACTCTGTCAGGGACGCGAATGTTTGGCGATAAGTGAATATCAGTTGGAGGATGTTTATCTAGCGAGACGGACAGAAAACTCCTTTTATTGGAAGTGTTGCCTTTAGCATCCATTGTTGTCCTCTTATCACAGATCTTGAAAACATTGCTTGATGTTGCCTCCAGGACTCGCCAAGAGGAGTCTCACTGGACTTCCTGTTGCCTTAGAGCATTTTTATGACACAATGATGGAATCTACGATGACTATTCAGTAATTCAGCCCACAGACCCAAATCCAAGTCCTGCACAGGGTGTCTTAAGTGGCGACCTTCAATTCTGCGACCAGAAATGAGCCATGCTTGTCTCATAATGTTAATAACTAACGTAAATGCGTAACATTAACCAGTTAGATTTAATAGTGATTCGTCACTATGTTCTATACATTTAGCAGTGTGTTACAGCACGTCGGCCTTGTATTTTACCTTTGTAAGCTCGTAAGCTTAATGTCCTATTGTAGGTCACTTTGAAATTGCTTACGTTACAGTCTGTTAAACACTCTGAATAAGCGATTTCAGAATGGATAGAAAAATTAGACTCAAACAGATACACAGAACATACCCTTATAGCTATAATGTGAACCCATTTGTAAGTTGATGGCGCTGCAGCACTAATCATCCAAAGTGGCGCACTTGATCAAGGGAAGTTTTCAATTAGATGTCATTACTGGTCTGTTGATATGGTTTGTTTTTTTCAAATAGGATTCGCATCTGCACGCACACAGATTCAGGTTTAGTTTTTCAGCCGTTATGACGTATTCGCTTCGCCTGCCAAGTGTGCTGCACTTCGATCTTCCTACTCTTTGTAGAAGTTACCTAATCGTGTTCAAGATAAAAGACCGAATTTGTCTTTTGTCTTTTTAACTTGTCAGATAATTAGACCGTTGACGAACGTTGCAGAAGCTTTAAGTTAGCCCATGTGCCAAACTCTAAGGGGCCAGATATAAGACAGTGCATTTATTAGGGTTACAGTTGCTGATAGTAACACTTGACACTTGATGAAAGCGTTTATTATTATTTGCACGTTTCTGATGACGAAATAAATCCGTATCAATGTGCTTCTGGTATAATCCATACTCATGCATTACATGCAGCTGTCATATCTTACTTGACGGGAAGGTTTTTGTGCTTGTGCAAATAGTAAGCCATTGACAAAGAGATGGAGGACTATAGTTACAGGATGTTCTGTGCTGTTTCTCTGTGAAAACGGTCAGCGAAGATTGTTCCAATGTTAACGTTTATTTTTCCGTAAAATTATTTCTTTTCAAAGCGACCTAGCTATTGAATGTGTGTGTTTTTTTTCGGGACAAACCGGCTCGTACAAATAGATTTTAAAGAGTTTGCATACTGCGAAATTCACTTTTGAGTTTGGATCGATACGTTTGTGTTGTTAAGGTGTGTCGTTTACCTCGACGATTGTTTACTCCGAAGCGTATCGCGGAGCTCATATGCATCAGTCCAATAAATTTACGAAATTATTACCTTGGGATCGGTTGAGGAGTTGGCTGGCATTAATTTACCGCTACATAAAATGTTTATTTATCTCAGTACTCTCTATGCAACGTAGGTGGAAAAACATAGTAAATTCTATAAACAAGAAAAAAATAAGCCTTGTTACGCGTTGCGAATATCGACTTTACGATTTCGGTTTTGTCACTGTTACAGGAATTGGTGATCAGAGAAAATCTTCTAAATTGTGAACCGTAACCGACGTCGTATACAAACGCTACGCGAATAAAGCGAGCTCAGTTGGCGCCCTCTAAGGTCAATTGTTAATTTGATCATTCCCAGTGTCAAGGCCGATTTCAAGATGCTACATCGGCATATTCATCGCCACAATTCAGTACCAGCAACTCGAAAGTACTCCAATGGAACAAAACCGTTCCCTATTCGAGGTGAGTGATACTTCAAAACAAAGAGCTGGCTTTACAGCTCGATGCTTTTGCGGCGATCAAAGGAACTAGACAAAGCATCATTGAAGCTTAACCTAGCTCCCTTACCAATATAGAAGTTTAATTGTGCTATTTAGCGAGACTGATCAACATCAGTCATCGTGCAGACTAACGAGAGTCCATTATGCTGTCGTCGAATAACTCAGAAACACTATTCTATAACGATTCTTTCTCATCGTAAACACTGGATCTCAGCAAGGCACAATTACTGAAAAATGTCCATAAAAAAGCTAAACTTAGCGGTCTTCAGTTCCCTAATAAAATGCCGGTTCTTCGAGTCGAAAGACAAATCTGCCGATCGGGTGGGGGTCGTCATACGAGACCTTTTCCCCTTCAAACTGTAATGTCATCTGCTATTGCTGTGAACATTGATTTATATTGATTCTGTCTTGTTATATGCTGCCTTTTGTTTGCTGCCTCAGAGAACGGGGCAGAAGGAAGGCTGTAGTTGAACTGGCGTCATTTAATAATGCAGCACTATAGCGTTTGGTTCTTTGGTAGTGCGTGTCTTGCCATTGTGACGGCGCTAATGTCTCTGAAAGGCAGGCTATTACATTGTCCTAAAAGGAGCTTGCGATTAATTATCGAATAGTTATGTCCTAACTAGCTAACTAGGTTATTTTAGGAGCGTGTTCTGTCGGGTACCTATTCTACTAGATAGACGAATCTCCGACCTTCAAAAAATCAGAAATTAATTTTTGTTAAATTGTGTTCACTTTAACGGGCACACATAATTGTGACCTATTTGGCTAAAACTAGTTGCGACTATAGGTAACAGTCAGAATTCCATTCTGATGTCATTGAATATCAATTAAATCTACATACGTACATACATAATTAGAGCATAGAAAATCAGGCTAATTTTCTATATCGTTTTGCAGCTTCTAGGATCATTTTAACGGGATAGGTAGCGCATTACTACAATGGCCTTGTCGTAGACACCTGCCTTAACAGCTATCCTCGACTCGATAATTAGTAAAAGCTCATTAGGCAGCATTGTTTTATCATAACATCGAACCTATCCTAATGGTGTAGTCGGACTCGGTGCTCGATTTTCGTACAACAAGAATCTGACCTTGTGCCTGTATCTATAAACACGACGTCAAGTACGTTTTTGCGAACTGTATAGGAATGCGCCGTGGGACCATTAAGCTTTAAAGTGAAATTTGACGTTCTTTTCGCCTCTGGCCGTAAATGTAAGATTCAAAAACATTTCATCATTGCGATATTAAAGGGTCCTCGTTGTCTAGCTTTGAGCCAAGGTGTCGGCACGGAGTTGTATTTAAATGACAGCCTTTGTTAATTAATTTTTTATTGCTATATTATCGACAATATTGGGAACGCTCCATCAGTTGTTAGAATCAGAACCAATGGTCCATTTAACGTCATCTGCACAAGCGACGCTGTAGCTATCGACATAAAACACTGCTAGACGGACGTTAACTTCCTATCTGTACGAGTACTACCTTATGTACCGCTGATCGATAGCAACTAAGTGGGAAGCACACGATTACCTCTGCTTAAAACTTGAGAACCAGAAACGCCGTAAGTTCTGATGAAAACGATATTTATTCAGACCAGTCATGGACTAAGAAAGTGTATTATTGTAAACAAGTAGCGTACTTATGGTTAGAAGGTTCCTATAATTCTCGTATGACTGTTATCGAAGTAGTACTATATCGGGCTTATATCTGTCCTTTAACCAAGAGCTTATTTGTGTTACCCTTACGCTCAACGTACTGACTACTACTGACAGGAAAGTCCTTAGGTTTGCTTGTAAGGATAGTGCCTGTCAGTGTTCGGACGTCTCTGCTGCCGGCCTGTGCGCCGTTGCAATATAACATGTTACCTACCTATGATTTCATTTATATTTACGAAGCAGCGAAACTAAAATGATTTTTCGAGTTGAGCAGATGTTGAATTGGCCGCTGTTGCTATAAACAACTTGAGAATCAGAGTCAGTTTCACGGATTCTCGTTGCTTGTATTCGCATTGTCCGCCTCTATAAAGTTCCAGGATGGTAATTTAGCTCGCACTAGCTCGCATTGCCTACCTTCGATAAAACAAAAAAAAACAAATTATCTTCAGATTAGTAGATCTCTCGGATGGAATAGGCCTTATCCAGGTCTGCCAGTACGCTTCCCTTGGCAAGCTAGATTTTTCCACCATACCCAAGCGTCTTCCCCAGCTTTTCTCTAAAAAAAACTTTTTCGATTTTCCATAGTACTATTGTCAATATTTTCATTCGTACTTTAATTTCCTAACTTCCAGCGTGAAACTTGTATCCAGTGGCGTACGATCTGCGCCGACCCAGCTCTATCAGAGCGATAACTGATCTAGATGTAAATACTAGTCTAGGTCAGGCCCTTCCAGTTCCCGAAGGACAAAAACTGGCCACTCGATACGGAGAGGCCATACAAGGTAATTCCTTCACGTAGCATCCAGGTGTCGATACACGGTTCCGCCGAATCAGCACTACATCGAAAAGTCCACTTTAACGCAAGCAATTCTGCCCTTCCAAGATCGAAAACTGGATTGCACCAAAGCAACAGCAAAGATCATGACGTGTCGACAGAGGAGAGGGCAGCAGTCGAGCCAGCGGAGAGGTGAGTAAATAACTCTCCGTCCGCATGGAGTCTACAAAAAGCCAGTCCTTGAAAGCAGTTAAACTCCATTACATTTGTGTTAACAGGACATACGCTCGTTCGGCTTGCCGTCTCAACAAATTACGCACGCGGAGGATTTTCGCTTTCGAGATATATGACAACCTGTAAATGACCGTGTGCAGTTTATCTTTTTTGTCGGCAGCTGGTACCCTCGTTAGTAACCCTTGTAAACTGTTCCCTGGAAAAAACAACAAGTTCAATACGAGGTACTAGTACGATTGCCGCCGCTACTTCGGGCGCCGCTGACGTCTAAGAGCTTCGCCTTGGACACTTCTCAGTATAGTCCGCACCTGCACTCGGTCTGTCCGCGCAAAGGGACGGGCTGCTAAACTTTGACGGTTGGAAAATCAATGCTGGCTTGAAACAGTATGCGTACAAACAGGACCCCTTGACGTACACGCCAAAATTGAGCGCCACTTTACGAATTGAAGGGGTTCACGCATATTATTGTGCTATAATCGTCGTTAGTGAAATCATATGTACAAACAAAGCGACGCTTTGGTTTGACGACGAGTGCTCCGCCCGTCCAGATCGTCGAAACGTTAGTGACTCACAAGCCTTTCAGTAAGTCATTGCTATTCAGCTATAAATAACTTTGATACCCGTAGTACCTATTTGCTTAACGGCAAAAGTGTTCTATTCAAGCATCATATAAGACGTTCAGCGAATAGAGTCGAAACTGCAAATAGTTTTCATCCACCACATACGCATCTATATTTTCTGTTAAGTCTTTCTCAACGAGCTCATGTTCATTGTGATCGATATGCCGTATTAATAGAAATTTATGGTGGACATTGTCTTCGGGTGTTGCGTAGCCCGACAAGGCGAACTGTCTGTAATTAGCTTGATTAGGTGCCGCTGTTAGAAGGATCACCTGTTTTTGCTATCGGCAACAAAAATGTCACCGGCGGCAACAAATACTTGCCGGAGCGCGGAGCTGCCTTTCATACAGCAGCGCGCACACGACGCGTGAGTCACTAGACGAGAGACATAGCGAATAAAGCTTCTCCCTTCATTGCCTCTCCGTACTGAGAGAGTTCACGTGGGTCCAGTGTAACGACGGGCTTGGAACAACCTTACCTACCTCTGTTACCATAAACGTCTTCTGTTTACAAAAATCAAAACGAGTCCTACTTTAATCTGCAGCAGGTGTTCTGCTGCTAGCGCCATTAAACCCGTTGTTGAAAACTTTGAACCCGAAATGATGGCGTCTGTGACAACCGTAGCTTCAACGACGTCACCGGCTGGGTGTGGTTGCCAGGCTGGACTGACGTGCGCCCAACGGGGACAAATAGCGCAAGATGCCCACCTGCGAATGATGGCCGAACGCATTGATCCTATCCGAAAAAGGCGTTATAGCAGCAGCACGAAACCGTTTCCAGTGAGAGGTAGGTCGTTGATGTTCTTCACACTTCCGAGGTTATAACAGGACAGATCGAAAGCGGCTTTAAAAGTGGACGAATTTTTCCGACCCTGGTCAACACAAGAACATATGCAAAGTTGAAACCACACATAGACACCAAATAAAATCAGCTGTTTTTACGAATTGCTTTTATGTAGAATGAGTGAATTAGGCACACAACTTAGTCACAACCGTAGCTTACATTATGTAATGTTATTCTTCAACGACAAAAAGCACTTTATTGTTTTTCTTCGACCCGTTCTCAAACGCTAAAATAGACAAGCATACTCTATCATAACTCTAACGATTGCATCCGTAATTTTTCTGAGTTGTATGGGTAAGTAAGAGCTTACATGACTGGCTTCATAGGAATCCTTTATTTGGGGCTTTGTCGAAACACTAATCGACAAGGTTACTAGGTACCTCCACGTGAAGCCAACATCATCGACGGAGACTTTCGGTCAATGGTGCTTGATCAAAGGTACGACAGCATATGAGTCGGTCGACCCGGGCATTTTTAGCAGAGGAGCCAGATTGGATTTTTCAAAACCCGTTTTTCTCAAATGTATTATAAAAACAAATGTATAGTATCCTAGGGTGAACCGTTTTTTAAAAACATCGAAATCTTCAAAAAGTCTCATTTGCTTCTCGAGCTCGAATGAATCGTTTTGGATGTCAAGGTCAATGTTTGCTCGAGATAATATCCTAATTGCAACTAGGAAAAGGCGATAATTTCCATTGCGTAACAAATTTCAGTAGCGATCAGTTCCCGGTGGAGCGGTAGGTTTGGATCGTCAATAAATAGGCCAGTAGTTTTTCTGCAGGATAGTTGAAATCAATACAACAAAGGTTATTGCAGCGATTCAATGGAAATGTGCAATAAGAAGCAGTAAGGATAAAATGAGATATGGCTACATACTGAACAGACTCAAAATTCCCTAGCTTTTTTGAAGGAGCTTTGCACCCGAACGATCTAATTCAGTGTTTTGTTTTTTTAAATCACGACTCAGGATCATGCTTAATTGGCATTTCATTGTTAAGATGTATGTGTTTACCTTAATGCTTAAGGCAAACAAGTAGGCATGAGTTAGAGGCTCGGGTATTAAGTTCGCCTCTATAATAACTATTCTTGACATCGTATTCTCTGGCGACATTTTTTCATATTGACGAATTTTTGTATCTTATAAAGTGTCTTTACAAAATAACGACGTTCAGGCGCTTGCTATCTGTGAGCCACTTCTCTGAAACTTCACGCGTATAGGGCAGCCGGCTCGAAGTATCGCAGTTGCTATTATCTACGGTAAAAGTTTGATGCTTGATGGGTTTGCGACTCATTGATAGACACGGTTTGATTGCCGAGATTGACGTATGGGACAACCAGAACGCTCATAGGATCCTCCTACAGACAGGTATCGTCCTCCTAGACCAATTAATGACTCACTCGATTTAGTCTTATGGAAACGCAACATTATTACTTGATCTGTTTGTAGCTGAACCTTTCGAAGTTCGTTTCGTTTTATAGGTCGTTGTGTGTCTTCTACCATGTGTGCGTGTTGCGTGGTAACAGGAAGCACACTTTTTGTTTGATGCGTATTTATTTTTTTGTTAGAAATTGTTCGTTCATGGCGAAACGCGGCACATTGCCATACTAACTCTAAAATCACCTTTGGTGCTGCCATCTTTCCGAGAGATACCAAATACATGGCATCTGGTTTATGGCAAGTGGTAGCGCGTAAGCGGACTCAAACAAACAGAAACGCTATAACACGATGTAACTGTCGTTTTTTGCAAAAATGACATAACAGACTATTGCTATTTATGTATTCTTACCAGAAATGTCGCTACATCGAACGTGGGCTATTTTTCATGTTGATGATCATGAATGATCATGTAAACGTGGCCGCTCGCATCAGAAGCTTACTTAAGAAACAGGTACAATTTTTTGCAATAGTCTAAAAACTAAGTTATGGGTTTCTAATAAAGCCATTGTAAACTTTCTGCTACTAAAACCTGATAAAGCCTGGTAAATCGCTATAAAGTAGCCGGCTTTTTAAACAAGCCTAATGGTATTAACATGCCTCGTCAGTAACAGTGATGAATCCGGCCAGTTAAAACGCTAACCGTTTGTATCAATTTCTCATCATCAATCCGCTCCGAGGACTTTGTCCGCCGTAGATCCGCTCGATGATACGGCGCTCCAGCTCAGCTGGCAGAATCTAGGTTTTTGTCAGTCTAGCCGCATCCTATGCAAACGTTGGCAGAGGTGCTTCGAAGCAGCTAGATCATGACACATCTTACGTAATGGATTAGGTACAACATTACTATACTACGTGTTGCCATAGCAACAATTCCAGTGTAGAAATCAACAGTGAATTTGGCGGGCATTTTTGTATTGTGACGGTAACAAACCGATTGCAAGCAGATATGTTCATAAAAAAAACTGTTTAGATTGATATCCGAGATCGAAATAATGTTGCCATTATAGGCGGGAAATTCTATCATTCTCTATACAGTGATGCGTGTATGTGAGAATTTCTCAATGATAGTCCCCGGAGCAGAGTAAACTGAGCGCTGAGATTTTTTATTTCATTCATTAAATGACGCTTGATGATAGCGAAGAGTTACCTTTTTGATGACCAGTGTTTTACTGTTATATTTCTTATTATTATTATTAGAATACGGTCAAAAAAGCGGTACTTGGAAGGTAATGTAGCGGATTCTTTAGATTGCACACATAATACCATTGTAACATGCAAACGTATATATTCTATATATTTATCTCGTCAATTAGATGGTAGCAAATGGTAAGATTGCTCAAATATCAGCCGGTCACAAGAACGCAGATTGGCAGTTAACCAATCAGTTATGCTAACTTCTGGTAACTATAAAATTTACGCTATCTTAGTCATTTTTATAATTGTTTCCTCTAATATTGTGTCTCGGTTGCCATCAACTTGGGCATTTCTGAGCATCGAGACGTCTATCTCGATTACATGGCGGCATGTCCGAACCATTGACCAGCCAGAAAATAAGATAGCCAGAAGTCTGATATATAATCTAGACAAGATAATTTTTCGAGCTATTCCTGCGTCTGCCTTTTACTCTACGGACGCACCGCTGTAGCCATCGGAGATGGGAAGTCAATTGAGACCAAGATCTGCTTACAACAGCAATAATTTTAGCGGTTTATCAAGCGTTCAGTGGTTTACGAAGCTCTTGCTTGAGGTCGTTCTCTCGTATCTAATGTATATGTTGTATTTGAAAGCGTTATTTCTTGTGAAACATCGGCGAGGCTCGAGTAACTGTGCCGCACGAAGATTATTACAAGCCGTCTACCCAATGATGGGAAGCCTGTATTCATTTATGGAACTATACACTAAAGCTTTGGTGTATCGGGTTTTTTTACGTGAGTCAAAAGATGTTCAGCTTACAGAACTTTACAATCTTACAATACATTGAAAAACTACCCGGAACCCGGCCCCAGCCCTATATGAGTTACTGCAACCCACAGATTATTATGCGTCTTCGATGGCATTTGTCACTCTAGTATGGTTAACGTCCAGGTAACCTTCACTATTGATTTCAAACCTTATATTAAATCATTACTCGTACAGCGTCGTCTGGCGTATGTTTTACGAAAACATACGCCAGTATTTGAAAACTTGGCAACTTAAAAACTCACCGATCCACTTATTTTCTGCCTATAATACACAATGTAAAGGTTTTAAAAATTAGTGTATAATAACGGGTGCGCGGTGAAGCGTCCTTTACAATTTCGCAGCTATCGAAAAAAATGGATCATACTTCTCTTCAGCTCTCCAACATCTGCCAACGCATTGCTGGTCGGATGCGACGGAGTTATATATTGTTAAGGGCAGCAACCGTCTGTAAGAATATAAAAGCGCTTCTGTATTAGTGGTATTCGGCAGTGCGTCCTGCTAGAACGCGTCAACATTGATGTTCTGATCACGCGGGAGTGAAGTGTATGCTGAAGCGGCCTTCGAACTGATGGCGCATTGTCGGTTGTTTTGCGAGAAATTACCGGAGCCAGCTTTCCGCGTAAGGCACACAGGTAGAAGTCCTAGTTTCCCATTACCGGTGCCCTGGTAATGATGGTGCAAAGCAAGTTTATGGTCGACCTAATTTCTAATAACTCTATAAACTTCTATAGTTTAAGGATGGTTAATGGCTTCTTATTAGTGGCGTTACTAAAGGTGGTTATGTTGGAGCAGTAGGAGATATCAGCTGTGATGGTAAATATGATATTATCTATGTGTATTAGTGATGTTCTGAATAGAGAATTTCAAGCGTCTATAGTGCTAAAGGGTTTACCTGTTGTTGTTATTAAGTTGTAAATAAAACTGTTGTTTAGGTTACTATTAGGTTAGGTTGGTCAGAAAAAGATGTATCACTATTCATAAGAATGGCAGGGCACTATTTACAAAGAGAAACTAATATCTAAAATAAATGGTCAGAAGGAACAGTTCGCAATTTTTGCATGGAAAGAGGCTTTTCAGTCTCATTTTTGTTTCCTCCCCCTAAACAAAGCGTGCTCGGCGTACGTAGCCCTTTCTTTCGTATAAAACGAATACGTCTTCGGTGTTCTTGTGTAATACTATTTCAATGGATCCACCCCATTGTCTTCACCATTACTTAGGGATACAGTACTGCATAAAGCAGTAATGGATTGTCACACCAGGTGAAGGCTGATAATCTCACTTACCCGTATGAAGCTCCCATTATGCTTGAATTCATGCGTGTTTTGCGTCTAGCTACCATACGTACAGCCTGTGCTTTTAAGATGATATTTTTGTTATACTTAGTTGTATATGTGCAGACTAGTGACACCAACTATTTCATCTCTTATCTCATTAACTGGTTAATGTCAGATCAGGATCGCATGTTTTGTCAATCATACTTATCACTGATAAGTTGTAATCGTTATCGCCATCGTCATCATTAGAAACCGTCGTTTAGTTTACTGATAATGATAGGCACTATTTTCGCAACACTCGACTGGCCGAAGCTCAAGAGCCAGAGCTCCCATCCTGCCGTTGTTTTGTCAACGTTACGCAGCGCCACAGGCCAACTAACTGTTTAAATAGCTAGCCGACTGGCCTGACCGTACCGAAACAATAGGCTGTGAACAATAGGCCGATCTGAACTCGCTCGACACGGTCGCAAGCCGTAAAAGCACACTCGTCAAAAGTATCTACCCCGAGTGTACGAGTACGCCAGTTATGCTGCTTTTTGACTGCAGTTACTTTGTCAATAGGAGATTGAACCTAGTCGTCGTTCTGATACATGTGTATTGTGCGCAAGCGAGTACTAAACAAAAGCTAGCAGACGCGTCCTTTGCGGGCGCGTACCTCTGTTGTGCCGTGTTGTCTTTGAATTCGATGTAAACATGCCCTGCCTTCGAAAATTTGAAAAATTTTGAACGTTTAAATACGACTACGATCATACGAATAACAGTGGTAACCGTTGAGTCTGTCTGGCAAGTTATGTGTGTTATGGGACAAGGTTGAAGGCCTAGGTTTGATATTACCCACGTAACGTGCTATGGTGTTTAAGGGTGGACAAAAAAATTTGTTAGCAACGGAATGCTCGGAACAGGTTCATTGCGTGACGAAACTACGCTGCCCGTTGATCAGGAAGCGAGCGATTCGAGATGGACATTCGTGGCTGTTGAACTCGATGTTTTGTATGTGCCTGATTGCCAATCTGCGCGGCTTACTCGAGGGCAGCCTGGCTGGCAAATGCTACCGTTTCCCTCAAACTGCAGCCATTGCAAAGATGAGATGTGTCAAAATAAAGTTTCGCCATTGAAGAAGATACGTATGAACAGCGCGTCCGGTAGTGTCGACACAATTCCTCCTAATTGTTAGATAGGTCTCTCGACCTACTGGTAGCCACTATCGTATTATTGATGTTGTTTTCAGTTGGAAAACGAACCCACCTACCCAAAACTGTCTCTGATCTGTTTGATTTAGATAACACATTGCTACTAGTAGATCTTGCAGGTGTTCCAGGAAAGGTTCCACCTCATGTCCTACTGCCGAAAATTGAGCCGGAAATTTTTTGTAGCTCGACAACAAAATGTTTCGAAATATTACGGAGTTGACACAAGGCAATGTTATTTTAAGGATTGTTTATAAAACTGTATCCGTTCCTGAAGCGGGTCCATCGTTAAAATAATTCTCCAATTTTGAACCTAACGGCGCTTAAGTTGCCTTCGAATAATAGATAGCAATATAAAAATACAAGCGATAACCGGGCTATACGATTCTAATTTCTATTTCACGATATTCGTGTGTGTAATATTCAGTACGTTGCGACGGGAAGGTTCTTATTACTATTAATAAGGTTGTTTTACGACGTACACCTGTCATTTAAAATGTTTGACTTTCATTTCTTGTAAGAGGTTGTATGCGGAAATGTTTCTATCGGTGGCTTTCTTAAAATCGCGTGTACGATAGCGCCTACCAGAGCTATTGGTGATATTCGAGACAACCTTTTCGGTGCTACTTATTTCAACATAACTTAATTATATATAATCCTATGGTTTTTAGGTGACCGCACGAACTATGTGAATTTACCGCATGTTATTGCTATGGTCGGTCTGCCGGCGCGAGGTAAGACCTACATAGCTAAGAAGCTCACCCGTTACCTCAACTGGATTGGCATCAAAACGCACGTTTTTAACGTGGGTGAATACCGGCGACAGGCAACAGAAGCCTACAAAAGTCATGACTTCTTTCGTCCAGACAACACCGAGGCAATGGCTGTTCGCAGTAAATGTGCCTTGGACGCTTTAGAAGATATGTGCAAATGGTCTGTACGAAACGTCTGCATTGTATATACACTTGTTGTTTGAGGACACAGCCAATAGTTCGACCTTTTTTTAGATCCTATATTAATGGGCATTAAATTTGTAAAGTACGAGTGTTATAGTGGCTAGCCTATATAGTGCATCGTTCTGGACCTGATGGCACCACACTGTTAATTACAGCCAGAGTCGTATTAGTGAAGAAAATCATTATTTGGATAGCAGAAATACTAAGAACATATCTATGTCAAACAGAAAAGCGGACGCGCACTAGTTGACCATAAACAGTGAACATGCTGATCAACGAAGTAGGGGTTCAGTTAAAATGGCTTTCGGGACACCCATAAAGTGGCAGGTTTCACTGGTCGTAGCAATAATACCACACATACGTAAACGAGAATGCAATTATGCGTAAGCAAATTGTTAAGCAGAGGTCAGTTAGGATATATGTATATATAATATTATCTGGAGCTTTATCGGAAGGTTATACTTCTGCAAAGGATGGTTCTTCCTGTAGGTGTGACTGTTCTGTATTATAATATTTCTGTGTGTTGTTAGGATTAACCTTTAGGGTCTGAAACGTAACTTCAGCAATTAAGTCATTATCATGGATGTTAGCAGACATAGTACCCTTGTTCTTGACTCATATAGGCTGGAAAATGACGAGGGGGAGGTTGCCGTCTACGACGCTACGAACACGACAAAGGATCGCCGTAAGCTGATTCACGATGTTGTCTGCGAACGCTATGGCTTCAAATTGTTCTTTGTCGAAAGCTATTGCGACGATCCAAACATCATCGAGGCTAACATCCGCGAGGTAAAAATCAATAGTCCTGACTACAAGGGCTACATGAACGAGGATAAGGCACTCGAAGACTTCATGCAACGAATCCGGCACTATGAAGAATGCTACCAAACGTTGGATGAAAGTGAAAACTACTCGTTCTTAAAGGTAGTGTACCGCAGATGACGTTTCTAGTTATTTCTCTGGAACTGCAGTAACAGCCGATCGGCAAACCGCTCCATAATGTGCGTTTAGCAAACTATAGGGAACGGATCATCGTGCCATAAGAGCATTAAATGGTTATGTTTACACAGAGTGCGGGTGTGAACGCTTTTACTAAGCACACAATTTGGGGGTTTATTGTATTGTTTCTATGTGTACATTGTATAGAACTATGTACGATTTTGTTCATCGCTGTAGTCTGGCCTTACACTTTCTATAGGTTCGTTATAGAAAGTGCAAGGCCAGACTAGTAAACTGCGTGAAATTTAATTTTCATCAGCTCATTGTCAAAGAGTGGTAATTATGTTAAAGATAAATAGAGAGCAAGCATAGCTTGTATAAATAGACCTACTATTAGTGAATCGGTAGTTTCTCTGCTGTACTTAGCCTCAGAAAAGACTCTCTAATAGGAGAACTCATGTATAGCTTTCCGAGGGGAAGGATTCCTGTGTGGGTCTAACACATTAGTCTACGATCGTTACGAACATTGCAAGTACTTAGATAAATAGTTTTCAGGAATTTACGAGTAATATTTTTTTTCTTTTTTGTGATTTGTGATAGCTGATAACATTAGCCAGACCTTTGCAAATACGAAAACAAAGATCAAATAAAGCTGTGGTTCGGGGTTGTCGCTGCCGGGGGCTCTATATGCTAGTTTTAACGATACCTAGGTTTTTTCGTGCCAGTATTTCGCTGCTGATAGTTCTGTGTGGTATGACGTGCTTTGAGCGCTGCTTGAATACATCAATTACGTGATCTTTACGTATCGCTAGATTTTATTTCCTCTACAAGTTTAGGTACACGTTCAATTTCGGCTCATTCAAAACCTACCGCTCGGCGAATAGCAGTACTATCGAAGAAATTACAGTACAAAAATAGACGCCTGATTCTAATGAAAAGTAGGTTTTGTGCACTAGCGTACATTAACCGTATCTGTAATACACCAGAATTGTATAATACCTACTCTTGATCTATCCTCAGTGGACTGCAGTACCTCTGATCAATTGGTCTCTGCAGTGTGCATCCTATTGATGTAGAAGGTAGAAATAGCTATTTTGTTTTATGAGTACGTATCAGTTAAAGAAAGTCTAATAGCGTAGAAAACTATTTCTCTCGAGTCAAACACAGATTATAATTGATGAGCTTTTACGTGGAAGCAAGGCCCATGTCGTATTGGAGGGTTTTCGTTCGGCTGGCTTCTCCGTTTCAAGCTGTTCATTACTATCCGTACCGTACGAAGATATTGTCAAGCATATGGTATAGAAAGAAATATGCTGGTGCACAAAGACGCCCTCGGCGTTGCCTGGCGTCGAGTAACGTGCAAAGGAGTCGTCCGCCGACTACCGTGATCTCTCATTGGCCTGTATAATAGATCGCTCTTTCTTATTGTACGTGTAGTCGCTTAGGATAGCACGATGTTTCAAACGCGTCGCTAATCAGATTCAATTGAACCTGTACGAGCAGTTCAACGGTGCGATGGGCTGGTTCCTAGAAGCATGCCCCTACCATTCCGAAGTCCCTAATGTCAACAAATGTATTTTTAATGATAATACTTCTGTTTTTGGACCCCTACTACAGCGTGTAGAACAGTTGTTGGCTTCGTGGCAAAACGTGCATTCTGCATGTTTTTTTCTGATGTGTATTAACGCAACCGTATATGCAAATATTTCATGCTGTTATTGCCTACATGCATATAGAGGAAGTAGTGCTAATGCCGACAAAAAGCGGGGCATCGTGTTGTTATCAATTTAACCATTTGCTATGGTGGCAGATTAATGAAATATGGTGAGTATAAAAATGCCGTTTTTTGTAGCAGATGGTTCTTTGTGTAGATTCTCTATCCTTTAGCGCTTATCGCTCCTCAACATTAACATTTTATGCAATGGCAGATATCAGTACGGCTTGAAGCAAACACCGTTCATTAACAACACCGCGTAATTTTTTGTGACTCTGGCACAGATTTTCAACACCGGTCAAAAGGTTGTTGTTTACCGTCACGAAGGACACATTCAGTCGCGTGTCGTATATTACCTAATGAATATACATATAATGCCGAGGTCAATTTACCTAACACGACATGGGGAAAGTGAACTCAACTTGCAGGTTTGTTTAGGCTCATCTATTACTATCATTCAAGTATCATTCAATCCGAATGTAATCATTTCATTGAGGTTATTCTATTGAATTAAAGATAAATAGGCCACTTTCTCTATTCTGTGTATTAGTTCAAGAAGGACTTGTAATGTAGCATTTGTCTACCCACTGTCAATCCGTAGGGAAGAATTGGAGGGGATGCGGATTTGTCTCCACGGGGTTGGGAGTACTCACGGGCTTTAGCAAAGTTTATCAGGGAGCAGAATATTCCACGTCTACGCGTGTGGACCTCGCAGTTGAAGAGAACCATCCAAACTGCCGGAGGAATCGATGCTCCACAAGAACGCTGGAAAGGCCTCAACGAAATTGATGCAGTAGGTTAAGAGCACATAACATTATTATTATCTATAGTGCGCATCTAGACAAGCTGTAATGCGTTTATTGAAAATAGGTCTTCTTTGTAATGATAGTCAGGTTCTTGTCATTCGTTGTTAGGTATTACGATTATTGGCCGTTAGGCTTTGTTATAGCTGAGTTAAACGTGTTAGTCTTACATATTATTTATATCCAGCAATCATTTCGTGCACATTACTATGGGTTCTCCAGGGAATCTGCGAGGAGATGACATACGAAGAGATTCAGGAGAGATTTCCGGCTGACTTCGCTGCACGTGACCAGGACAAGTTCCACTATCGTTACCCACGAGGTGAATCCTATGAGGATTTAGTCGCACGGCTAGAGCCTGTCATCATGGAACTTGAAAGGCAGGAGAATGTCCTTGTTGTGGGACACCAGGCCGTTCTGCGTTGCCTTTTGGCCTACTTCCTCGATAAAAACTCCGGTGAGTACGAATTACCTAGCATGTTTATGCCTACAGATAATTAGTTTTGAGACTGCTAGCATGTTATGAAGAAAGGTTGTATAGCAAGTGGGGTAGATTTTTTTTGGTCCTTGCGTTCATGACGAAAGGACTCCCTGATGGCCAAAGGATATCCGTTGAACAATTTACTATTAAGGATTGGAGCATTATATGAGAATCGCACATATCCAAAACATGCTTTTCAGATTAGGGATGCTAATTAGGATATTTAACTATTAACTGTGGTTTTTTTCGATGTGTACAGTTTGATAATATCTGTGGTACATCATTCATGTAACCAAAACAAACGGTGTATGTACATACAGGTCGGATTTCCACCCCATCGATGTCTTGGTGCCCACTGTCGGGTAATTGAGAACATTATTCCCGTGAATCCAGTTGGATGTAGTCATCCATCAACATTCAAGGTCGCTAGGTGAATTCGAGCAGAATATTTTGTTATCTAGATCTTTTTCAACGCTATATTCGGCTGCAAAAACTCTTCTGGTAAGGCACGTTTAAATGCGATGCCTCGGTAGCGTATTACTTGCAGTTGTTGTTCCTGTGTTGTTTTGCCTGTGTATCTAATGGGAGCTCTCTGTTCTGCTAAATATTCAAAAAAAACCAGTACGGTGCAATTTTTATATTAGCAGAAGCACCTGAATGTTTCCGTTCCATCACAAAAAATATCAACCATATAGGCGTATTTAGATAATGAAAGCACCGGTGGTGCTTTAATTATTCGTAGCGAATCGCTTTAAACTAAAGTAGAGAATACGTAGTTATAAAACAAATAGCCGATATCTCCAGTGCATAAGAAAGGCCCCTACAAGTATCCTGCCATCGTCTTAAACATACGCAAGCTACGACGCAGTTTTCGAGTACAAATCGGTGAGCGGTTGAAGGATTTTTAAAGGTTACCGATTTGTAAATACGTTGTCCTCTTCCTCTTTTCACGTTCACGTTCTGCATTTAAAAAGGACTTGCCATAACCCCATAAAAGTAAATATAACGCATTGACATCATCGTGGACCGAGAAATTGTAGGACTCCTCTGGATGCATGACCTTCACGAGGACCGGGTACCTGGCCAGACTTGCCCGAACTGAGAATTAATACGACTACGCTTTTTTTCTTTGACCCTGTGTCCAGAGTCGTTTTGTTACGGCTGGTCAAGCATACCAGCCTAAAATTGTTGGCAACACACGTGTCAAGGATGAACTGTACCATTACTAAAACCGTACTGAATTTTGTTCTTTGAAGAAAAAAGTCTCTCTACTCACTTGGGGAATATTAGAGTGAGCGTGCATTTCCATACATTCTGAAGGTGGCTTTTGACACTTAGTCGATCGATACGCGTGGCAATGTTAGGTGTCGTTTATTACTAGCTCGGGACTGCGAATTTGATGCAGCCAAAGTTGATCATCACTTTCCCCAGAAAGAAAGGATCTTCTTTAAGGGTCAAGCCAAGGACTTGGGAAACATTGTTTCTGCATGGAACACTTTGATATCATGAGGCACGTCCGGATACCTATTCTATGTTGTATCCTCGTGATACTAAGCTTGCATTATCTGTGCCCTATGAAGGCCATTCCGGCACACAAAGCCAAACCTGCGAGTTTTATTATGAACCTGATCGCACACGCATGAACCGTTCGAACCGGCAACGATGACCACTACAAATAATGTGCCGAGCAAGGTTGCTTCGGATAGTTACATTGTATCTACAGGTAGAAGGGGTTCCACTTGTATGTATAGGATGGGAAAGTAAACATTCATTCGTATACTTTATACGAATCTATAAGAACTACTACCACAGGAGGGCGATTAGGGTGTGCAAATTTACCAGACAAAAACTATGAAAGACCGAAAGGGGGCGAGCGAAGGAAACAAAAAACGTGTGCTCACTTCTGAGGCATGTTGTATTATTGTAGTTCTTGCTGTGGTCTTGTGGCTGTTTTGGTTGTTGTTGTTGGTATTGTTCTCGTTGGCAGATGAGATGCCCTACCTACACGTGCCGCTCCATGCCATCATTCGAATCCAGAAAAGCGCGTCGGGCTCCATCCAGACCATCTTCCGCGTGCCGATCGAGGCCGTTCAAGATCACCACCTCATTTAGTCAAAGCAGAGAAACAGAGTAAAAATCAAACATATAGCAAACAAGGCAGAGGTCGAAAAACGCAGGGACTATTGTTTCTACGAGGAAAGCTAGGAGGCCGAGCTGGCAAGAGAACAGCGAATACGGTTAACGGAACACGAAAACATTAGATAGCTTACACGCATTATATTAGAATGTGAAATCTCAGCTTGAATGGGTAAATTAACTGTGTATAATGCCAGACAGACGAAAGTCAATGAAATTGTTGTCTTTCACTTTCGGCAATTTGACGATGACGACCTGTCCGCTGTTTCGCGTCAATGATCCTTTCATTGTAATTAGTTAAGGACAAATACATTTGTCACCGCCGGCATCCGAACCACAATAATAGGTGGTCCTGCACGTAGCAAGGCTAACGTAATCAACATCCTGGAAGATTTTCTTGAAAGCTTCGGGGAAGGCTACTGGGTCCCTCATTTTTTAGAGAGAGTAAGGTGCGAAACCTATTTCAATCGTCGTTGAGTTTATAACAGCCAATACGCTGTGAATGCGAACATTGTTACAATGAATCGTAGTGTCATTTATCAAATCATTGCATGTAAGAGGCAGAAACAGAGCAAAGCAGTCCCAGGGCATAAAATAGAATGCTCTTTTTATTGTCTGCCTATATATTCTCGCGGTCCTCCGTATATAGACATCGAAATAAACGGTGCTAGTTTGCGTTTATGAGATCAGTATGACTCAGTGAAGCCCAGGATCATTTTGTGGTCATGATGCCGATAAAAGGTCAGCCATGTTTAGTCGAGGATTGACGCCGAGGTATTGTCGTCATCGTCAAAAGAGGCTCCACGCCCCTCCAGCAGACGACTGCTTGTCAAATGCTCTTGGCAGATGGCAAACGTATTACACAATGGTAGACGTGCAACTAGAACCACACTGCAAATATCCATACAAAGTTAAAGACATGACACAATTAGCATGTGTTCTTCAAAGTAGCAACGTAACTTAGACATAACATAATATTGTGATCTCATAGAAGTCTGGACAAATCAATAGATATATTATCACAACACTGTCAAGTACTGATAGGCACAGTTGCATATCGTTTACACACAATCGTGTGTAACCAGTCAATATGTTACAATTTATCTGTACGTATTACTGATCATACAAACTTTACTTTTGTGTTTATATACGCCAGTCTACGTACCGTGACTGTCTCTCAGCGGAATTAGAGAGATAGACATTTCTGTCCTGTGCTCTTTACAATCAGTAAAGCTGTTTGCATCTACACTAATTATATGTATCCATATTTATGAAGATCATTGATTGCCTGCACGTTTAGGCAGTCTGACAAACAATTTATAGCAGTATAGATATTATCCTCGTCTTCCAGATCACCGCATGGACTTTCGACAATGTGCCAGAAATACTTAATATATATATTGTACTATAACATGGTTGGTCTATTTAGTTAAGTGTATAATATGTCTGATTTGATAGAACTGAGCTTGTGCATAGCGTATACCAGTAATTCAATGGTGTTCTGCAATGGCTTACCACTGACACAGCCACACAGTTACTTACCGTTAGTTAGTTAGTTATCGAAAAACGCTAGTTACTTCCTATAGCATTTAGAGGGTGTTCAGTAATGAGGAGTGTTTCATCTCAAATCACATGTTAAACGATTGCGTAATAAATCATTGTATACAATACTCTCGTAGCGTTAACTGTATTTATTGTTTGTCTGGTTTCGTAGAAGAGTCCACCGTTTGCCTATACGAATTTACCACGAGCATCGCCTTCGTGCATTGAGATGAGCTTAGATCCAAGTATCGCACGATTATTGCCGCCGTTAAGACACCTATGAATTTTTAAAAAAGTTTGAGAATGTTTTAGGGTGTTTCGAAAATTCTGAGGAATAGAAGAATTCTTAAATAGAGAACTGAATGAGTCATCATATAGTCGCCCTGGAGTAAGTCTTATAGAGGGTTTTGATAAGTAGCAAGAAATTGTGACTGAGACCCTCAACAAAATGACTCACCCTCAAAAGGAATGAACTATTGAGGCCGAAGTGCGCCTTCTAGAAACTCGAGGGAGCAGCGGTTTTACGGGGACGACGAAGTTGAATACCGGCAAAGCTGGTGGATTCTTTAAATGGAACGGTGTAATACCTAGGAGCGAGATAGCATTGGCCCAATGGGGCAGTCGCCAGCAATCGCACCACGATTGGAGGTCGGTCAACAGGAGGTATAATTAGCAAATTACCTAACATTAGTAACTGTATCCAAAGCAGCTCTAGGGTTAAGTTATTCGAATAAATATAGAAATAAGCCGATTTTCATCTATAAGAAATTAAAGAAAGAGCAATTTTATGTATATTTCTCTGTTAAACATTTTTTTGTTATTGCTGTTGCTGTTTTGTTTCTCTGGGTTGATGTTGCTTTTATGATGTTGTCTGTCTTCCGCGTACTCTTCGAATCCTGTTGGTGTTTTTATTCCTTCTACCCCACGTGCCCCACTGCCTTCGATGTCGCCGACCTTGCAGATGAGCTTCCGTATCTACGCGTTCCGCTGCACACAATCCTCAAGCTGACTCCGATGGCCTATGGTTGCGATCTACAGATGCTCCAGATAGGCATCGAAGCGGTGGACACTCATCGCGAAAAGCCAGCGGTAAGTAGATACTATCAGCATCCAACTTTGTTTAAAAAAATATCCTTTGCTACTTGTTGCTTAGAGACCACGGTTCCGAAAACAGTATAGTCAACATGTGCGTGCAACAGAAGATTTGTATCTACAAATGAGTGATGTCTCATGGGCAAATTCTTCTTATAAAAGTTATGTAGTTCATAACAACAATTAGTTAGTGCATATTTGCCTTTTTGAACCTTCCATCTTTCAACCGCAGATGTGGGCCGTTCCTGCGTTCAACTAGGCGCTAAGGTTAAATAATTGTTTACGGATAGCTATTGAAAGCAAGATTTTATGACGTTGCTTGCGTAAAGCACCGAAAAAGAAATTGATCATGGTCTGTTTGGCAAGCGGTTAATGTTATTAATATTAATGTTAATAAAAATCACACTTCTTCTATCGAGAACAAGTGTGATTTTTTTGGAAAAGCGCTAAATGGTATAGAACCTTATCTAGATACACCGTGGAGTATCAAGAGGAAGTTGAAACGGCAAAATGCTGGCAGTATTTTGATACAGCGTAGCAAATTTCGTACCGCAAGCTTCACTGGTCGCATTGACCCTGGCCACTTTTTTTTATCATAAAATGCTCTGTGTCTCTATATCATTAGGTAATGGTCTGCTATCCATTTTGGATAACAGACCATTAATTAACGTTTTACTCTTTATAAGGCCATATGCACTATTATTCCCCTAATAAACCTGCGTCATTTTTTTTTAAAACAACAATAACCATAATATTGTTTCTCTATTGTAGTTTCTCTATTCTGAATAATAACAGCGTAAGTTATATTGCATATTTAGTTACTTTCGGGCCATACGTTGTTTTTGTAGTCAACGTACTGAATCGGGCTGACGCTCACTAGAGAAGTAATTCTATAGCGCGAAACGAAAATTGGCAGAGTTACCAACCCTGAACAAAATCGTTTTGGAAAACGTGCTATTTTTCTTTGCTTGATACGGATTAATCTAGGAAGCTTTAAAACACAGTTGCTTGTCTAATGCCTTTATCATTTCATCGTAATAGATAGCTCTATGAAATTGTCTAGCTTGTAAAAGCAGCGATACTGCTTCTTAAAGGAATGTTGGCGGTAAAATTCTTCACGCATTCACCGATGTAACAAGCAAACACAGGCTTTTGAGGGGAACGTACGGTGTCAACACCGATCGATCGTCAGATCATTAAGGGTCATTTTGGGGGTACAAGGTTTACTCTGTCACAGGAAGTACGACATCAATGCTCAGTGTCAAAAAACGTATTATGAAGCTATGCTGATGGGATGTACTTAGTAACATCACGTTTTCTAGTTTATAGTACACCGTTTTGTGTAAATTTCTAACCTGAATCGTATCGCGCTTACGTGGGTGAATTCACTCCGTAAACGAACTCCAGCAAAATCACAGTGTGTGCCAAAGTGCTACCTGATTAAGATAGGCAATCTTAGTGGTACTATCGAGTATGGACATATGCTTTTCGGTCTTGGAGCTAGCGCTGGCTTAGCATTTTGAATTCTTTTCAAAATCTTATTTTGTACGAGCACACTCATGCAGTCGGTTCACGTGAAAGATACAGCCTAGATTGATAGGGACAGATTTAAGGTGTGTGTGACCTCCTTGATATATCAACGATTCATGACGATTTTGATCAGATAATTAGATGCTAGCCTATAATATAACGTTTAATAGAGCTTTTTTTTTTTAAGGTTACCCATAAAACTAGACCTGCGCTCGTATAGAGGCGCTGGATGCGACGTCGACTATAGCACTAAATTATGCTTGACATGTTAACATGTTGTTACCAGCTTCTTTGTTGACTGTACTAATTGCACGGTCGTGCTTGCATGGTTATATTGGCTGCATTTGTTCTAACATATTCGGCAGAAGTGTAACCCAGAAATCGATGTCAATCTATATCAATTGACTGTAGTGAATAGTCCACAGATTTATACCACCCTACTAACTTTATTAAACGTCACAGCGAACGAGCAATGTTTGTAGGTTTTATAACTTCGTATTCTTGTCTTGACCTTTTAATGGTGTTTTCTACCCTGCTGTAAGTTGACGCTTTGAAAACGAAATTTTTTGGAGAGTATACTGTTTCAATAGATAATTTCAGGATTTTCCATACACTCTCTCATACGCTACCTTTTTTTGTACTCTACACATTTTTGAGAAAAATACGATAAATGAAAATTTACTAATAGGTGCAATTTACATGTTACCGATGATTCTTTGGCGAATTTAACGGACCATTATCATTAGGCTTGTGTGTAATGCCGTACTTAATGGAGGCGCTTTGTCAAAAATAGAGGATGAGGGAGAGAGAGAGAGAGAAAGAGAGAGAGGAGGAGGAGGAGGAGGAGGAGGAGTTAAAGAGAAAAGAGGGAGAGAAGCGATTTAGCGGTCTTTAATTTCGACTAAAAATATTGTAGCTACGTGACGAACGTTTTGTTGTTTTTGCCAAGAACCTCTTGGCCCATCAGGAAGGCGAACCGCGCCGTTTCTGGTTTTCTATCTCACAGGTGAGTATGCTGAATCTAGTTTCAGGTGACCACACGCAAATGGACATTTTGTTTTTCTCCATTGTTTTTATAGAACTTGTGTCGTTGTGCCTAATAGTTGTTTCCGTGTTGGTTAGGCACGTGCCCCTCGCCTTCATAGATCTATACCTAACTGATGAAAAGTAACAACTGTGTAGACCCGTATTCATTCTGCCTAACCTGAAGTATAAGTTAATAGTAAAAAAATTTCTTCTGTGAAGTATAAGGAGGAACAGTTTTAATTCTTCTTGATCTGGAATATGACATTGTGCAGCTATACACTTATTGGTTCCTGCTTTTTGCCTTTCTATAGAAGGCTTCTTTTACAGAAAGCCGCCTTCTAGTCGCTTCCTTGTTCTAGAGCTTAGCGGTGATGGCCTTTCACGTATATGAGCGTACAGGCTAAATTGATTGAAAAAAGTCGATTGATATGGATTTTTAGCCGTAAAAGCTACAGATCTACACTTGGATCAACATCACTCGATTCTACTAATGCAATAGAGAAAATGCTCATATCTTCATGACATCTCAAACATTCTGTGAAACTATAGCGAACCTATGTGCAGTCTTCTGCATTGGAGAGGCATCATAATACCCTTATATATGAAAACCATATGAGACTGTTCACTGACGTCGGCTGAGATGTGTAACATGATAAATAATTTGCATATATACATATATTGACTCAGCCCAACAAATATTAAGAACTGCGGAACACTGCTCTGTCATAAGCTCGATTGAGTGTTCCTTTTTTTTTCTAGCAAATTTCCATGTAAGACAACTCAGTTACCGACGCGGTTCAAAATTAGCAAAGGCTCAATAATTTTTAGCCGAGTATACAACAAATCAGCGCTGTTACGTTTCACCAGCCTGATGAATCTTCTCCTTCAATTTCTACCCGTAATGTATTGAAACGCGGTCTCCCCGGCCAGGAACATTCCTAATGAAAAGCTTAAATCCTTGCAAAAATATCCAGACCCGCAAGGCATGGCATAATTACGATCCTTGCGCAACAGATGTCTACAGAGTACATCATAATATAAATTTCAAATAGGTTTTACGTAGGTTTGCTGCAATCTATGTTTGCAATCTATTTGTAGTAATTATTTTTGATGATGTTACGTTTAAACTGCGGTCGCAGGGCAATCTGCTATTCTTATAAATATAATAGATTTACCAAAAAAAAAGCAAATGCATAGGCATTAACAGGCATTGACGAAGTACAGTTACTAACGATAACACAGCCTAAATAAGGCACAGTAACCTTACCTTAAACCGTACAGTGCAGTTTTTCGCAGTCGGTACCTTGCTATGACCTAGATCAACAAAAATACTGCATTAGGGTCCAGTTAAAGCTAATGTTTGACCATGAGCGTAGCGGATATCAGTGTAAACGGAGCCATTTGCAGGGTATCTAGGCAAGCTGAAAGCCTGAGAGATATTTTTTGACAATGTAATGCACACCATGACTTTTAGGTGCCCGGTGCTCTCGATCCCGTCTTTCTGAAGCAATTTCAACCGACTCCTACGGACCCGGAGCAGCTGAAGGATCCTCCAGTATCTGAGGAGTTTGCTACCGACGACGAAACGGGTGAAGCTAGTGCGCTGTCGGTGCAATGCGGCGATGCCCAGAAGAGACATCAGGACAAGTAGAAGCTACACAATTCCCTTCTTGAAAACTAAGCATCTGATTCAGAAGTTTCACGTGCTCTTTTTGGTTCGTTATAAATGTTAAAAGCAAAGGCCCCGTTGATACAGATGCTTTTTCGGGTGAAGCTCGACTAAAGATCGTTACAAGGGATAGTTTAAATTCCTAATCTACCTACACAGTGGGTATGTTTCCTTTTTGGATATGTGGCTAATGGTCACATGTCGATATCAATATTCGGGCGGGGCACATGGAATTTACCTCGACAGAGATTACGATCTGTAACGTCTAGCTTACTGGTGTGTACTTTCGTAGCGGTTTATATCCAGGTGATTTTATCCCCAGCCAATGTTGTGTCAATTTGTCCTATTAGAAATTACATACCCACCTTGACATTTATCAGAAATGTTCGCCATTTGTTGAAATCCTATAAAAAACACAAGAACGATCCCACCTAAATAGTCCTATTCCTAGCAAACAGTGTTCGTACAAGCCGTACCTTTTCCTACCACGTCATGATTTTCTAGACGGTTTATCGAAGCAGTCCACTATTGATGCCTGATACCTTTGATGAACGCACGGGAAAAGCTCCTATATTAGACGTAAGACAATTGTGACAAGGGAGAGAAATTATGCACAAGGGCCTATTGCACAAATACGCAGGGCTCTTTGGGCTAGCGCCAACCGATGAGGACGTAAGGATAGGAATTCAAGCAAGGTGTTCTATCCTGGAAGGTGCTACAAGCTGCGGCAGAAAAAGCCTGCGGACCTTACGAGGATTGTCAAAAAAATGTCAGTGTCGCAGAATATGAACTAATGCAAAAAATATTAGGTCTTGTGAAAGTGGCAGACGAATCGAAGGGTCTGATTGCGTTTGGACGAGTCTGGGAGGGTTAGAACAAACAAAAACTAAAGGCAACACAGGAAAGCGTCACAAAGAATTCTATGCATGAAAACCACAGGACAACTGGATACTTTCGCAATCGTCTCGATGTAAAGAAATCGTTTGTTTTTATTCGACGGCATCAGACGACAACAAGATATTTCTATCTTCGTAGACTCGTTATAAATTTAGCGAGCCGAAACAACATGTAAATGGCTCAGGCTTTCAGGCGAACAAACTTTCAACAAGAGTATATGATGCCACATATTTTTTTCCCAAATGAAAAACGTGACGTCAGATGAAAACGGAATGTAGGAGTTTTGCTCCTACAAAAACAAACACAGTATTGTTCGTTGTGCTCTTTATAAACAACGTAATGCACAGTTATATTAATACTGGTCTCGCAAAGTATGCGTGCAAATGCAAATTTGTACCTGTACGTAACAACGATTCGACCTGCCTGTGAGAACCTCGCCCCGTTTCTAAATACAGTGCAATGGGGGTAAATTAGGATGAGACTGATATTGCGTCCAAATGAACATTTTTATCCATACCCTTGAACTTTTAAAAAGTTTAAAAAATTTAAAAAATAGCGCTAGTAGGCGCGTCAACATAGTCATCTGGAGACTTTCAGATCCTCGCTCAATGACGACTCAAGTGTGTCTTCAGTTTTATTAAAACCTCTAGAACAAAAATTTTGTTAGCGAGTAGGTATTTTTGTAAATGAGGTATGATATCGTGATGGCTCTCGATGCTTGACACAAGCCTCAAAAAGCTAATATTAGCTAATAACCGACTTTTATCAATAATAGGGGTCTCTCATAAGCGATCAACCAGCTTGCATACTTTTTTTTTCGCTGAGGAATCGTCAAGGGTGTGCTACTGCATAGTCAGGAACACTCGGGGGCTATCAAATGGTCCACGTACAACTTTGCGAGCATTGCACTTTTGAAACTTCCGTAAACCATTCAAGCAAATTTATCCAGTGTCGTGTCAAATTTGAGAGCCGCTCGAAACGCTAAAATTGTAGGAAATGCAATTTTTCGTATTTACGATTGGTCGTGGGATCCTTATAGCGAGTTTCCTATCGGATTCTTCTCATCCTTGGTTGAAGCTGCTCCTGGCGTTTCAGCAAACACGGTCTCAGCGGACTGTAGATAATCAGTTTCTGGCAAGCTAAAATGTTCTGAATGTAATAACGGATACTTCGAAGATTTCTGCGTGTACAGAACAAAACTCTGGTGTCCATTTGGAGACAACTGGCTCTATTCTAGTTCCAGAAGCAACAGATCAATGCATGATCTCTACGACAAAAAACAACCCGCCAAAAATGTGCCCCGATTTGTTTCGAATTTTGTTGTTTGTTATTCTGGCATATGGTGATGAAAATGTCTTACTTAGCGTTGGCGAAAGTAGCGCATACCGGGTAAAACTGTTCGTAGTACCGGACGTAGCTGCCGATACATACATCCAAAGACTGTCGTCTATTTCAATATAGGAAACAAGAAAGGGTTAAAGGACAGAATAACGTCTAGCCAAACTAGAGGTTCTTTCAAGCCGGCCAGAGCTATTACTCTCGGCTGGCAAACAATTGCATTCCATCGTAAGCTTATAATTATATTCTTTGTCACTCGTACCTATCAATATGAATGATATTGATCAGGACAACGATGCTAGTAGTATCGTCATGTTACATATATATGACTATTAAATCCGTTATATTTATTATTACTAATGAAAAACGCGTTGAAACAGCCAATATGGTCTTTATTGTTTTGTGTTTATACTACCTCAACTGTAACGACGAAGACAGAAAGCAACAAAAAAAGCAACAAGAACCTCAGGAACGTAGCAATTTAGTTTATTCATTATTAGTACAATAAAACGCACATATATACGTAATACATATGTATGTATACGTATATATATGAGGTGCGTTTTTATTTGCGTACTTGTTTAACTTAATAATTAATGAGATAGATCAATATGTACTAATAAATTTTTTTTGCTAAAACAACCTTCCACATCGTAAACAATAGCCTGATGGCGTAATTCCTGCTGTTCCAATATTAATTTCTGTCTCCCTTTTTTATTGTAGCTTTGAATTACTATTATGAAGTAGAAAAAACGTTTTGTCGTATTCTTTGGTAAGAAGCAATCGGTAACTGCATCTGTTGCTAATTGAGGGAAAGCCTGCCCAAAGATGATTTTATGCTAAATACTTTGTTTATAAACACTTCCTCATTGAAACCAAAAGGTTTTCGAATCCGAAATTATAGGATACGGCACGTAACCATTTTCCATTCTGTAAAAGACATCAGAGCCGTCTTCTTAAACGCAATAGAGGTTTTATTGGCGTCTACAACTACACATGTGTAGCGGTTAGTGGTACATAGAGCCTGGAATAAGACGTACATTCGACGACCCGTTTACCTATTGTTTTTTTCAAATAATGAAATGATTAGGAATGCCCTCTCTTCCAATAACCATCGTTATCGAATTGGAAATTGGATTTTAAATCTTTATATTGTCGGTTTTTATGCTGTAGTAACCGCTGATCCGGGGATGTCCTCATTCTATCTAATTCACAGGCTGAGGAAGATGAAGCGTAGTGAAATTACCTTGTCGCTGGCTGAGATCGAAATGCGCGTCGGGTTGATACTCCCGCACATTGAGTTGTGCTCGAGTGAGTCACTTATTCATAGAATACATTGGAGACACCACATTCATTATCCAAGCTAACCGTTTAAAAAAATTCTTATACTGTGCCGATCAGTGGCCCCGCAGTGCAGGCCCCGCCTGCACCCAAAAACAAAACCAAACAACCCCCGTGCAACCCCAGCCCACAGCTCACCATCGTTTGGGCAAAAGATCGACGAACGACAAAGAACAATTCAACAGTAAAATCGAGGTAATCAGCCTGGCCGCATTTCATTTTCCCTACGTAAGTTTGTGCACACATAATGGTCTACCCAGCTTCTAAGACAGACAGGGGAATAAGAGAAAAAGTAAATAGCAGTAAAACAGCTCTCAAGCAAATGTAGCGTAGTTCCTGATTGACTGTATTTTTTTTATTGAACGCCCTGTCCTGTTTACTCTTGCACTACTGAAATCTGTAAAGACCGCCTTTGTGTTCTGTCTAGCTTTGGCTGTGGGTCGCTTTGTGAACGATATGATACAATGCTAGGTACGTGAGATCAGACGGCGCAAGCTATGCGTTATGCAGTATCATTTGCGTTTTTCCTGCCTGCTTCGATAAGTGGTTTATTACATTTATAGAACTGATTGGTTCAGCATAGATCTGTGTTCGTAAATATCCAAATACGCATCTGGAATGGGACTGAATAAATTGATCGTTGCATGTTTGAACGCTGTTACATACTACGAATAGTGGTCTGGTACTTTCTACGCCGATTTCTATAATTACGACTGATCTGACGACCTCGAAGCATAACGTACGACGAGACTGTATACGTTTTATATAATCACACGACAAGACTTCGAGGGTACCACCCACCGGGCGTAGCTCTGTTTCAGTACACTGTCGAAAAGAAAAATGTAATCTTTTTTTCATTGGATTTTAATAAAAACGTAATTACTGAGTAAAATGGTATGTAATGTGCCACGTTTAGGCATTTTTTAATGTTTGAAACAGTCATGTTTTAGCGATTCTTGATTATTATGCGGCATCGTCCGACGAAACGTTTGTCCTCTGTATTACCCTGTTGATTAATTTGTTTGGCAACCATTTTGGCTTATCTTTGGACTGATTTCACTCTTTTTCTGTCTGCAAATTGAAAACAGAAGTTTGCTGTTGTAGACCAGATCTAACACCCGTACACTTCGACCTTTTTTCTTCTGTACGTTTTTTTGTAAGAGGTTCACATCGATTCGTTTTTGGCATGCCTGCTATTTCTCCAATTCTTACAATATAGGTTTGAGTCACCTACGTATAACATATCACAACAGCATAAATGGTCCTGCATTATCGGATGCCGCCCTATCCGCAATCGGTAAGCATAGTAATACATAGGCTTTCACTTTTTTCTTTGTTTAATTTACGTTGCAGAACACCAACGTTGACCGTGCAGCACATGAAGCCTTGGAGACTGTTCCAGAGCACTTCTAACTTTGGCCAAAGAGAAAGAGTCTACTGTGGCCAAGAAAAAAACGTATAATGTTACAGCGACATCATGTTTATTATTTTAGAAAGAAGAAAAAACTGAACTGGCTGGTTAATGATAACAGGATGTTATTGAAATTTTTCTATCTATCTATCTATCTAATTTCGTTATGAACAGGCGCGATATCGTCTGCTCATGGGGCAACTTTTGTCTTTTTCGAAAATGGTACGATGAGAGCCTGACATAGGTGTAATAATAATTGTGTACGATCCGCGATGAATCTGGGCAGATCCATTATAAGTTTTATCCTTTGAAACCGGAATGGGTTCTCAAAAGAATACCCGCTAGCTCTCTCTCTAGTCGCATAAACAGTCACTGAAAAATAAATATACATAAAATTGATTGTGACGATAAACCCGGTAATAAAAGACTACTCTATTGACGTGTAGCGGCCAGTAATAGCAAACTGTTGAGCTTATGGACCGTACTTCTAGCGTAAAAAGAAGTCAGGCTGCAGGCCCGCCAGTGGATAATAACATTGGTGAACTACGTAGTCTTTAAAACAAAACAGAAGGGATACATCGTACTTATATGAAGCAATGAGTTCAGCGTTCTACATGGATGGAGATGTGAAGTCAACTGGACTACAATCGGCCTGTGATGGTTAATTCTGGATGTTCTCGAAGCGTAAAACGTTGAGCAGGGAACGATAAAATGGGTGGTATTTCAATTAGGCAGTGAACCCGTCTCGTATGAAAATCTTTTATCGATCGACCAGTTTTCAAAACAAATAGCCGGAGTCATTCCAATGGGTAACGGCACCTCGATCGACCTCGTTTACAGCAAACGACAAGGCGGCAAAAATCGTAGAAGCAACCAAGTATCTATGTTAGCAATTGTTGCTGCTAAGGACTTTCATTAGAGGTGTGCATTGCATAATTCTATATATATAAACTATTTACTTATATATATATATATATATATATCGATTATGGGCAGAGTATGAGGAAAAATCCTCGGCGTGTGTAGCGTCGACGTAGGCAGTGGCGCTGATAATAATGTGTTAATAAATGCCGTACATATATACATGTGAGTCTATAATAACTCAATTGTGTGCTTTCGGAATTCAATGATATTTTTGCCGAAATAAGATGAATATTATCAAGAGAATATTAACTAGTAGAGATCACTTGAAAGTGATGTCCAGAGGCTTGATTACTTCGTAGCCCATCAGTTACAGAATAAAAGGCACTGAAAATGATGACTGTGCCGTTCTACCGCATTCGCTAACGAAAATTCGGAACAACGAAGCTCGGTAAGGGGAAAATATTCAAATTAAACAATGACAGAGGGTGGGCAGCCCGAAAGAACTCACAGACCCGAATGCTTTTCAAAACAGGATCCACTGTCATTTAACAGAAAGACTACGAATGTATTTCTAGCACCACCTGATAGTCTTTCTATCTTAATGGAGACTTTTGTGGAAAGCAGACAAAAGTCATTTCATAGAAGCAGGGCCGGCGATACAAAATGATGCGTAGGAACACATCAATCTCCTAAACATCCTTTTTCTCTTTATTATAATACCATCGTCGTCTTACGAATTTCTAAGCTTTCTGTTAATTCACGAGCTGAAAAATTCTACCATGATAGACTGCCTTTTGATCGCCAACAAACAGTCTAAGGGGTGGCATCGAAGCTGCCTTAAATATCGCTTGCAACGACGACAAGCTATATAGAAATTGTACATGGACGAATCTGTTACAAGCGAAAGTCATTTTCCTCTATTTCTCGCATCTTGACTCCATCAACTGTATTCTTTGGTGTAGTGAACGTTAACGTCGGCAGGTAAATGTATCTGGGAAATGTGCCAACAATGCTGACAAACATAACGAGAAAAAACATCAAGTTTACGAAGAGGTTCTATGATCGTGTCCCTGACAAGATCACGTTTGTCGTTTACCGGGTCGCATACGATTCCACCCGTGAATGCTAAGTCGACGTGCCTTGTGCCAGGCTTAATGTTCACCCGAGAGAGACAGATAGATAACAGTATCCGCTATCTCGATTATCGACATATTAGGACACGTATATATTTATTTGTATGCGATCTTGAGACCTATTTGAACGTCAAGAATATTGACGACCTGAAGGTTTTTTTTCGAGTCAAATCAGTGACCTGTTTCATTGCCTGGTGAAATTCGACGATGAGCCATTACGATGTGTTTGATTAGCAAATACTGTAGTTTTGCCAGCAATACATCATGTCGAATAACATACGGACTGAGCGGATACGAAATTTGTCTCCGTAGGAGGCAAATTTTGATTTATAAGATGTAATGGCGTTAGTTAATGTTGTTATTGTTGTTAAAGCTTCAGTGGAAGGGTACGGCGTAGCACATTTCACTGTATAGGATTAGGTGCAATGTCACAATTGTATTATGAAATAAGGCCAAAGTTGAAACTTAATTGAACGGAGTGAAACTGAGCTTTACTATATAAATTATTGTCTGGCCATTGGAACTGTTGTGATGTAGAAGGACATAATAAAAAGGTTATAAAAATACGAATGTAAAATATATCGCCGCTAACATAGGGTGAACGCAGTTAACGTTGATAGAAATGACACCCATTACTACATAAATATTATATAAAATTACCTACCAAGTAGATCATAAAGCTATATATATATATATAGATCATAAGGCACAATGAAATACTCTGTTGAGGCGTTACCAGGTTATCTCGCAAAAACCGAAGAGTATTATCGTCTAGGGGTTACGTGATATTAGCTAAACTAGCAGTACAATTAGTGGTGAAACGCGTTACTAGTATATATTGCCGACTTCACGTATCGAAAGCTACAACACGTGTTTATAAATTCAGTTGTATGTCCTCTTGTGCACTTTATTTTTTTATTGAATATATATATATATATATATATATATATATATGTGTTCGTAAAGTACATAATAAAGAAACGTACTACATATATCAAGTACGAGTCATGTTTTGGGTGCGCCACTTGCATATTTGCTAATAGCCACAGTTAATTTCCCGTTAATTTTTCGATGACATCCTTACGTACGAACACTTGGGTCAGGCGAGGTGATCCAAGTTCGAAACTGGGCGTAGACTTATTTGGCTTCCGATTGTAAGAGTAACCATCTCAAGTCATGCCTAACGGCAGGCGCTGGACATGAAACACGAAATACCGACTAAAAGGCAACAGTCTGAATCGGCCAAACTCATGTAGTACAAATCTAGCTTTTTTCGAAATTGGTCGTTTTCATTTATATGAGTTAAACTTGCTGAAAGAAAACAGGCTTCTTCTGACTTTGTTCGAGACTATCGGGGTAGGTCACAGCAACTGCACGATCAAACGCGATGTGGCAAACGCGCGCCATATATCCTCGTATTTGTATATTGCCAAAGGCCCTTTGACGTTAGTCTGGTAGATTTGTATGGTTATGATCATTCTTAAGACGGTTGGGGTAACATTCTCAGCTGTTTGATTATTTTTTTCGTCACTTTCACGGCTTTTAAAGGCATTAATATCCTAGCTATTCACATAAATACCTAATACATCAAAACAAAACTTTTACGTATAGAAAAATTGATTATCGTGGTTATGTGCTGCTCGGCTTGTGATTAAATTCGTCACGACGCATCCCATCGATACGTTTCAAGTCTCAGCTAAGTGTGTTACGCACGCAACGTTTCTACGTATTCGTTATGTGTGCCTCCACAATCGAACATATTTTAGAACGTCTTTGTCAAACCAATAGGCTCCTGTGTCTAATCCTTACCAACATAAAATTGTAGACTTATATGAGACCTATCTAAAGTTATATTACCTGAATAACTGCTACGAAATGAGCTGACCCGTCGTTCTTATTAACTGCTCCTAAGTTCAATGTGTTTTAACAACTGATACGCAACTTACGTATTTAACTTTTTGCAACACTAGCACACCCGTGACGATCGTCAAGCTCAGTGAGTTTGGCTGTATAAATTCGAATTAGAATTGGGGCAGTATTCTTTGCTAAGCGGCCAACTGTGAAGTTTTTTCGTGGCTGCCTCGACGCAGCGCTCGTTGTACGTCTGTAATGAATAATCGTAGCTCTTGCCCTCGGCTTGACAGTGCAAGCCGAAACGGACGTTCTCAACAACGACGAAATGACCCAACTACGTCGAACGATTCTGAAAAGAAGGCATCGCTGTTTTCTCGTGGATTCTTGCGTCTGCTAAGGCACATACGTAAGCCTTCATGGCTTATCGTGTTTCAATTGCTGTTCTCCGAAGCGACCTTGCCAGGTCTGAAGGACGTTTTCGGTTTTAGTCCTCCGCTGGCCAGACTGATGTTCGCTACGGTGTTCCTCTATCTTGTCCACACAACTGTTACCGACATTAGCCAGCTGGTTATCAGCTATTTAGCGTACAATACATCATTACAGGTATTGCACGTGTAGCAGAAGAAGGCCCCCACGCACTTTGCTTGAATTCAGCATCCGCTGGACTTTGGACATGCTTACAAAATGAAAATCGACCCTAGTCCTTCAAAGTTTGATCACAAATAAGATGTTAGTCTAAAAGGTTCCGATATCACTTGTTTTCCCTTGAGACCTAGAATGTAAAGGTTCTGTCTTGAGTAGTACGTTTTTTCTATACACTTGTAACCAAGCACCGATCGAATTCGATGGCTCCGAAGGGAAACCATTTAGAATAGTATGTGGATTTAATGAATTAGGAAATTAATTACCTCAGCTTTTTTGTCCTTTCATGCCATCGAAATAGCTTTTGTCCACAGGTGAAAATCGAAGAACCCAAGGACGGTCCTATGAGCATGCCAGCGGTTACCATTTGTAACCAAAATCCATTGCTGCTATCAAAACTTTGTTTACCCGCAAACCGAAACTACATAGAGACAGAGACTAATAAAACGTGCAATCAACCCAATTGCGAAACCTTCATAAGTGTATTTTACGAAAGACTGTGTCTTCGTGGTGACGCGGAACGCGACAAGCTTCGGCTCCTATTTGGATCTTCTAAAGGTCAACTTGCTGCAGAAAAAGCCAGGTCCAAAGGCTATTTATTTCATACTATGTGTATCTGATAAAGCGAGCGTAGTGAAAGCATGGCGAGTTCCACTTTGTGTATATATATAATGAGAATGAACAATACAAGTAATGATTTTCGATTGACTTAGTCGGTTTGCTCTTTTGTTTGCTGTTAGGAAAATGTTCTTCGAATGGTATAGTGCGTTAATGGGCTTTGAAAAAGGTCGCGAAGTTTTGACCGAACTCAGCTATCCGGAGATAGCTTCTACCGTGAATGCGTGTTTCTTCAACGGGGTAGATTGTCGCTCACTCATCACAAAGGTTTTTATCAAAGTTCCTAAAGATTTCCTAAATTTAATCCTTGTGTAAGGGCTGAAACTAGTAGGGAAAGTTTAGCTATTTATTCTAATAAAATCGGGTCTCTCGAGACTTTTGGGCACTAATCGATATCGTTTCCTCATAATCATAGAGTCTTCATCCGTTCTACGGGGTGTGCTTTTGCGTATATTGCAAATCGCAAGTAGAGGTAACAACATTCGAGACACCTACGAATGGACTGATGCTAAACCTGAAGGTCAATGAGGACGAATATTTACCCATGATACCCAATGCAGGTAAGAGCAGAGCCATCGACTCGTATAGCTTTGGTTAAACTTGCATCTTCGGTGCGTTTATTAGTAACGACAAATTCGTCTCTTAACCACTTAACGCCGTTTTATTCCAGGAACCCAGGACGGCTTCTAATCCATTTTGTATACTCTAGATCTAAAACTGGACGTCCTTACAAAAGGCAGAGACGAAAACCGATAAAAATAATTATATCCACAAAAAAAAACTTAATAGAGATATATCTGCATTTACCATTAGTACGTAATCGTAATAATACGTTCATCGTAATATGTACGCAAATTAAATCGGCGATATGTTTCGAGGCATGCAAGAAACCTAATAAAGATATGTCTTTTTTAGAAGTCTATCTGCAACTCACTTAACTATACGGTTGTTGTTTGTTGCCGACAAGCACTACAGGTCATTTGTTGATGATACATAATAAGGATGAGCAGATTTCCGTATCGGAGGATTCCATACCTGTTTATCCCCTCGCCACCACGTATATTGGCTTACAGAGGGAGCAGCTTATTCGCCTGCCAGCTCCCTCGAACTACCCCTGCACAGAAAGTTATCCGGCAGAGGTCGCTGTTCATTTGACTTCAGAAGATAAACAGAAGTATTCGAAACTGCTATGTCAAGATGTAAGAACAATTCACTATCAAGCTGTTCTCAGCCTATGCTTGCTTTCGATTACAGAACAAGTAGAAACGATGTATAACAGCACCATGTGTTCCTGCTTTAAAGATGTGTACACAGATGGCAATTTACCGCGAATGTAGATGCATCGATTTCAAGTATCGTCTACCGCAAAACCTGGCAGCGACCGAATGCTCTTACGTTCTGGGACAGCCAACGGGGAAGAACGCCCGTCACAATGACACTCTCAGATGTGCCCGTGAGACGGCCCGCAGGGTGAGCTTCGGTTTCTCCTTTCACAAACCTAGGCATGCATTTCGACCTTATTCGAAACAGGTGTCCGACAATGTGCAGATCGAGACCTCGTTAATTCACAAGCATTGCTTCAAGAATAGAAACAGCCTTTAAATGCACATTTTCAAGCAAATTAATTTGAAGCTCTCATCGAACGGTGTTGGTAGATAGATAGTCAGAATTTTTTAAAACTTTGGTCACGCTTATATATCGAAGTCGCACACACACAGTCTGTTCTTTAACAATAAACTCGTAGATTTGTAGAGCTGATGAAACCAACTCTAACTAAGATCTAAAGTCTGAAAAATAGATAAAAATCACTTTAAAACATACTTTAGTTTCCACTTGAAATTACACATTAAGATAATTTACTGAGAAAATTGTCCGCTTGATACATACCCCCTGCCCGGGATTGCTCCCTTCATGAATCGTTTTCTCATAGAAATAATAGGCGATGTTGTCGCCACACACGATTCGTTTATACGTTTGGATATCAGTCGCCATCTGTACGTTTGATATTGCTATCAGCTTATTGTTCCTTAGCTGGTAACACGTCATAGGAACACCTTACAGGTCTTTTTTTTGTTTAGACGCACCCAGTCTCTTCTAATAAACTTGTAGAATTTACAGCAGCCTCGGCGACAGTGTCGTTTTTGTTATCTAAGTGTCAAAGTATAAATTTTCGATCATTATATTGCCGAGGGCTTGATGAGGAGGCTAAACTTCTAAATTTTTCAAGTGCAAAAACATTACTACGTGGTGGCAAATTTGAGATATTTCAGGTAGAGAAAGCTACGTTCCGCTGCGGATGTCTTCCACCATGTCAAGTAGATTTCTACCACAAGGTAATTTCAGCTCTGTTTTGGCATCCTGACGTGCAGCGTGAGTCCCTTGGCGTGGAAAGATTGTGTAATTCAACTGTATACGTGTACATGCAGTCAAACAAAATCACCGTTCGTCGTAAGGTAAACTGGCCACCTGAATGTAACACTCAACACGTAAATTAGCGAGCTAAAGCATGCAAAAACGAACCGGAATTAATGTTCCGAACAGTGTTTTTCAGTAAAATTAATCCTCTTCCGCTTGTTTGTTGTTGTTGCACATCTACCGACCTTAAAACGTAGCGGTTTATGCGTCATACATCAATAGTGTCGCATGCATAGAATAGAAAAGCTTAAGTTTTGATGGAGTCAAAATGACTGCAAGTGATTAGAGGAAGGCATCGTTAGCCAGAATGCGTTTCGTACCTCATCGCGCTTCGCAGGTGATGCAGATCTCGCCGAAGGACTTATTGAACTCGATCGCAGGAACAATGGGTATCTACCTTGGCTACTCGTATTTATTCGCCTTTTATATCATCGACATACTGGTCCGAGGCGTCGCAGAAATCGTATGTTGGCATATTTTTAAGGCCAAACAGCTAGCACGTTATGAGGACGCGCGACTTCAGGCCTAGTAAGCACTAATCACAAACAATCTTGTGCATCTATAGAGAACCACCGACGTATTCTAGTTATAGAGGAGTCATTCTGGATCGTAAAAGATAACTATGCCGAATTTCACAGGCTTGAACTGTGTAAAAACGTCGTCAGCGAGAACCGTTAGCTTTCGAGAGACGTTGAATTTTAAGCTAGCCCAATGTTTTGCCTGTATAAGAATTCTGAAGGCCGTAGAGAAACATTCAAGATCCTAGCAGAAATTCGAAGCTTGTTTTCTAACAATGTTTCCACTAGTTCCGTTTATATCAGAGTGCATTGTAACAGTAAAGATAGCAACATACTGGTCTGTGAAAAATTTCAATTGTTTAATTATAGAAATTATAATTGGTGATAATTATTTAAAACGGTGCGTTTTTGCGAGACGCATTGCTTAAACAATGTTAACAAATAAGGACCAAGCTCAGAAAAACTATTAGCAGAGCCGATAACGTCCATTAGTTAGATCGAATCAGACATTTGTTCCTGAAACAGCTCCTGATCCACCTTTTTTCAACCCGAAGCCATTTTTATAATATTTGATTGATTTCTTCATTTTATACGAAGCTCGGCAACGCTCAGATACTGAGCGTCGTGGCAGAACACCATCATAACATATCAAAATGTCATAAAAATTTACCAAAGGGGATTTGTAAAGTTATTCTATATTAATAAAGATACGTGTACAAATATAAATCAAAGGGTCAATACTTTGCCGTCATATTTTATTTTTATTTTACACAGTTTCTAAACGATAGGCAAGGTCGAGGCGCCCTTGTATCGAGGCGCCTACATATATGAGGGCGCCGTGTGTGTGCCGTTGATCTGCATGAGATTTTCAGTTTTTGTGACTAAGTAGAGAATATTATAGATTTTATGTTTCTACATGGCATTTTTATTATTTGATATATCGTTATTGACGCGCACGCATGATGACTATCTATATGTAACACCGGGTCGTGATGGCACGGGCGGTGACGTCTAACCGAATCGCCTGTCGATGATTTTTACACAGATGTCAGGTTTATTTTCTCTTTTTACCTCAGACTTCTTATGTAAATATTCATTAGGTATTTAAAAGGACCCGATAGAGGGCGTTGTTAGGGGAAAGCACGTTCGGGAACGCAGAATAAAACGGGGCTATGCTCACTAGAACGGATGGTGTCTGCTGTTGCGTAGCTGCTGCGGTAAGGGGCAAACATTTAAGCTGAACGATCGATCCTTTTTACGATGTCGATTAAGTTCTGCCTTGTAGCATTGATTGCCTATAGTACGTTGGCCAGTGAAACGTTAACTGCAACCTTCCAGATTAACAATGTCCGGATTACCGCTGGTAAGTAGTAAAGACGGTAGCCATTTTTGTAAAACAAACGATAGATAATTTATCTCGAGAAGAGATCGACGACGTCAGGTATCAGCTAGACGCGCGCTAGAGACAACGGTGTTTTACAGTTAATACTGAAAAAGATTTATATTTGTAAGTTGAAACAGTTGGTAAAAATATAAGCGCATGTTACAGATATGTTTAGTTAACATTCAGTAATAAACACTATAGTCGAAATGGGTTCAATAGTGAGATTTAATTGAAATTAACATAACCGGCTGTGAATGGAAGATTTACCAACAGATAAGCAAACGACCTCGTTCGTAAACCCGAAACCTGACTTCGATAGTCCCTTACTGTTGGCAAATTAATATATGCGTATCTTTGAGAGAGAGAGTTTGTTTTTGGGGGGTGCGAATAAAATTTTTGCGGAACATCTGCTAGGAATAAAAGAATTTTACGAGAGAGCCTTTACCCTGACTATTAGAGTAAAAATGAAAAAGCTTAACGATCGATTATTTAGCTTTTTTTTTTATTTTTAATACATAGGAACCTATAGGGTCAAAAAGGTTCCTTTTAAGTCCACATCATTTTTGTATAATTAGATTTTCCTTTACTAACTAAAATATAATGTTTGTACTATATTTTTCACACATGAAAGCAGTATCTTAGGGTTAACATTACATATATATATGGTGACATGGGGCAAGGGGTCACCACGTTTTTAGTTAGCAATGTAACACTACTTTCAACTTTTACTTCTGTTAAATTTCTAGAATTTTTTGAATGCACACGGGTCAGGATCTTTTTCAGATTTGGGTTACTGTTTTTTGACCAATTTTGAAAAGAAGGGGCTGTCGAATTTTCGGTAAACGGCAAGGAAGCAGAAAGACCAGCTTGTTTTGTTCTACCACAGTCGCGCTTGTCCCACATTTGAGTTTTCAGAACAAACTGACAGAACATTAACATCTGGAGTTATATTACACAGCCATTCTGGAGACTATATGAGTGAGGTAAAGCTCAATAAGTAAAATCGGATGCCGGCGATGTTAACTGCACAGAGAAACTGAAAAAAAAATAGGTGACTTCAGAGCTTAGTAACAATGCGTATATGTCTATATTTGTCAATATAAGCTAAGGCATCGTACTTTCGAACCCGCCGTGTCACGATATAACTGTGCGTTATATCTGGCTGTTTTTGAAAGACATTTTTACGACTTTGTTGACGTAACGTATCGTTCGGGCGAAGCAGCGCTGTCGATATATGCACGACATTGCCTATAATCTCAATTATATGGTATAATTTACCATACATAGGCATTTATACGAAAATTGTACATTATTACGATGATTATAGAAATTTCAATGCGATCAAATTTGTTCTGAAGAACAGAGCGCACGTTTTTATTGCGACCGCACGTCTCGGACAAGATATAAATGTATCGATAGCTGAACCATTTAAAAAACGTCATACGAACTTACGGCAGATAAACTATAACCTTTAGCCTGCCTAGTTTTGTAGTACACTCTTACAATCTACCTCTCATTCTAACCAGAATGATTACCCTTTCTATAAAGAAAAGCAGCTCTTCTTTAGATTTGTTGCTGAATTACCGATATCTTCGTAGGAAATCATTGGCCCCACTTGTGGCCCATATGAAACCGTGTAGTGGACCTATATGAGCCAACGACTGTCCTCAGTTGATAATACTCTGAAAATTAATAACTAGTGAGCCCGTTTAGGCTACAGAGTAGAAGCGTCTTTGACAAACAAACTGTCGTATTTTTTCTGTTGTTGCAACGCCTGTTATACACTCAGCTATTTTTTAATCTACAAATGTTAAAATTATTATTTTAATTAGACACTTCATTTAATTTTTTTTTACTAGAAAATGACCATATTGAAACTATCTAAACTATTCTACTAGTATCAACACTTATTTTGATCTTGATCTTAAGTTTCGTCCTAAGCAATGAGTAGCGTTTACATAATGGCGCGCCAACTACATAATATGTAAGGTCTCAGAGCTGACAGTTTGAATCAGCTCTCCTACAGGGAATTACCATTGGCCTTGCAATTATATAGTTGCTATACACTGCTGTAGGGTATATGCTGCTTCTGCTGAGCTTTAGTATTTGATTTAAGACATTCGACGAACTGCCCACGCCACTGGAGAAAAATGTTGACAGAAAAAAGCCTTTACCCCATCTGCAATTTGGCTTGACCTCGCATATGTAGCCGATTTAGTGATAACCAACCCCTTGTTGATACTCCGACTGGTCTAATCACTTCTTCCCACAAGTGGAAATAGACAAATGGTCAAATTTGCCCATTTTCTAAGAGCTTTTATAGAAACACGACCCACTATTCATTTATCCAATGGATAACGTTCAGTAATCCTTTTCTAATAATGGCCTAAATAGGTGAGGTGCGAGACAGAGACAGTGCCTATGCGTGATCACGCTTTAATGTGAAGGTGACTCGGGTGCAAGTCAGAACTTTATGAATGCGGCCTTTGCCACTAGTTGACGCTTCACTTCCCATGTCTCCCATGCCTCACCTGAGTCAACTCCATGTTTTTACTTCATGCATTAGAGAAGAAGCATGTTGATGTTTGTTATTTTTCTAATACGGTATGTAAACTATCACTAGCTACAAATACGCTCGATTAAATTAATTAAGTTCGGTACGAAGTCACAGCCCTAGTCTTGAATGGCTATCGGCTAATTACCGTAACCGCAGTTATTAGATAAAGCGCACATTTTACTTTGAACCTATGCTTTACTATAGTGACATTTCTACTTCAGGTAAGTGCGAACATCCTGAAACGAAACAGCTGTTCTCTGATACCTTGCTCCCTGCGGAAGGTTGTATGAAACTGACATGCGACTTGAAGAAGAAGACCATTAATGGGGTGTCGTGCCCGGCTGTCTCGAGCCCCCCGGGATGTAAACTAGTTCCGGGTTTTGGCCCCTACCCGACGTGCTGCCCAACCGTTGAATGCTAGCATTTCTAGATCAAATCCGCATTGGCTATAAATAAGCCAGTACATTAATAAACTTTCATTTGACACAAACGCCTTCCTTCTTCATTTATGCCCGAATATGGCTGACGTTTTTCATAGAAATAAAGCGTTGTATTCAACGTGGACGCGCAGTTTCGAACAACAAGCCCTTGGGCGTATTTTTTTCTCGCACCATTCTACTGGCCAAAGAACTATATATATATATATATATATACCGGCATATAAGTAGACATTTCTTGCGGATGAGAAGTGACTATGGGTCGTGGAGCCGATTCTGTAACACAGCTACCTTGCTTTTAGCGAAGGTGATATATGTTATAGCGTTGAAGATGCATGCTCAGCTTTACTCTTGCGTTGATCTGAAGAGTTACGTTTCGTACAGTGGGAAGTTATTTATATATATGCTTTTTCCTATAGAAAAAGTTCAGCGTTTATTTTGCAAAGAATACAAGCGTCGATGGTATTCAAAGGACACTGACGTTTGTATATTAAATGGCACATTTATTTAACTTATACTTACATAGGAACGCAATAAGGAATTATGTACAGTGCGTTCGTCATTTGTTCTTTCATATATATATATATATATATGTATATATGTATATATATATATATATATATATATATATGTATATATGTATATATATGTATATATATATATATAGCAGCTGATACGTGTAACTTTACTTCAATGAGAAGTGTAATTATTAAGTAAAATAGTCACAGTAATGTCTTCTACTGTATGCAGTTTGGCGAAATCCGTACAAAAAAATAGAAAGGCAAATGTTTGTATAGAAAGTATGTTTACGTCACAGCATCATAGATAGATTAACAGATTTACACCAAATCGTTTATCTAGCTCCGTATTGCTACAATTTACAAAGAAATATACATGCGCATCAGTCATCTCGTTATCATGCTATGGCCGGTATTATCATAGTGCATAATATATACCTTCGCCATCATATCACTCTTTGCAATATTTTCGATAAAATATCGCCAAAGCAACAACTGTCATTCGCGCGGCGAAACGACTAATTGTTATTGCTTTTGTTTCGTCGCAATGAGCGTTCTCGGGGGGTTTGAGGTGCTCGTATTGTAGGAGAGATTCGAGTCAGATCAAGAGGATTATAGTTAGGTTCGATTAATGCGTTCCGTGGCTTATAGTACTTCTTCCTTGGCCAACCGTTGAGACACATTTTATCTGCAACCACATCCGTGAACGACCATATCCTGATAGTTCTTTAGTATGACACGTTCGTACGCGTCAACGTAGAGCATCGAGATAGGGGTCAACTCGGTTGGCACGCAACAGGCCTTTGGCACGCCGTTTCCACCAGTACGCATTGAATTGACGAGCGTTTGAACGATGGCGTGATTCGTGCCGTTTAAATGTTCGGGTATGGGAAAGGGACAATTTCCCTGGCAGTAGTAAGCGTTATAACCTTGTGGGGCGACGATCCAATCATTCCAGCCCACATCGTTGAAGTTTATGTACAGACTGTGCCGACGACACTGCTCCCTGGGAAAGAAAAAAATCAAAGCCAAGGGACTGAGTGGTAATGGTTTACATTTAACACACTTGTATGCAAAGCAATGGAACAGACCAATAGATTTGTTTGTTTGTTTGTTTGTACTGATAGTGATCTTTGCAATACGAAATATCAGTCGCCAATCTTACTTCTGTCGGTTGTAGCTCTTCCTTCGGTGATGTCTCGTGGCCGCTCGCTTATTCCTCAATAGAGATAGTCGTTTCGAGTCGCTCTTGCTCGCGTGATAGGTAAGCAGGATCGGCTGCTGATTGTCCCATGAGGTCTCGTTTACTCGGCCAGGGAAGTTCTTCAATAAAACATATGGCGAGACGACAGCTTCAGTGGTATTCTCGCTCTCACGAAATACCTGAACGTATAAACCGTGATTTCGCTCAGTCTTCCAGCGCTGGACGGCTTGTACAACGTCTAGACCGATCCAGGCATCACGTTCGGTGTTGCCAAGCACTCGTTTGGTATCGAGCAATCGTAAAATAGCGTCGGGATTTTTGCGGGTCGCTGGCCGAACGATATCGTACACTTGAATCATTTGCACCTCGCCCGTGTAGTCGACATCGTCGAGACGTGGCTTAAATAGTCGAAGTTCAGCTCCAAGGAAACGCTCCTCATCGGCGATGTCTTCAGTTGAGATATTGAATTGGTATCGAATTCGGTTTATACCATAGAGATCTTCGTCATGCCGTTCTATCAAAGACACAATTGATAGAACGATTAAGGATTAATGAACTGTTAGGTTTGTTTGCTTCGATTGCTGTACTTGCGCGCCACTAGATACCTTTCGTTTACAAAGCTAAACGCCTATAGAAGTTGAAGAATGAGACATCATATGCCTAATTTTGCACGTAACTGGCCCTAGGGCCTCAATGTCTTGAATTGTCTATCCAGTTTATTAAATATCGCCTTTCAACCGAACGTAATTCACTCAGTTATCCATTGAACAGTGTCTGGGCATCGCTGCTGGAACTGAAAAGTTGCTAAACATATGGCTGCGACCAACACTTTTCCAGTGTGTTACTATGAAATAAAGCTTCTATAATCCAGTCGTGATAAGTGATTTTCAATCATATCTACTTACGCGTATGTAAGTAACTTCGCACGGTGTCAACGGGCTGCTGGGTGAGGATTTGATGATGATCAATGGCAATTTCGTCACCAGGTTGATCGGAATTCATGAAGCGATGTTGCGCCAAATACAAATCGAGCATGTATTGTGGAATACTGCGCCGGCTGCGCATTCTTTCACCGAGCTTCAGGCGAAGTACATCAGGATCCGAAGCTCCAATGATATCCTGAAGCTTACTGCGCAGAAAGGACTAGAAATTGCAGCGAAACCAAATCAATTTATTACCAACTTTTTCATTGCATATATATGTTGCGTGTTTGTAGAATTGTTACCGAGATACGTTCTGTGATAAAAAAAAAAATACGCTACTGAAACTGTGGATGAGATTCTTTGCTTACATTTAAAGCCCCTCGATTGCTGACGGCTTCCTCAACGCCGCCCAAAGCATCAGTACAATTTGCTGTTGCAAATAGCGCGCTCAGATATCTGCAACATAGGAAAATACACATAAGTAGACACGCTTAATATATCTGTCATTTTTTATTGGCGGGGTTTTTTAATCATTACTTTAGCTATCAGCAGAAAAGGTTTGACGATATATTGGTTTGGTTGACAAGAATGTCCTAAACTTTGAACACTAGAACCGGTGCGCTAAGTAAGCTTATTTGAGGGAGAAGCATTGTGCAGTAATGAGATGCAGGAACATGACGGGCACAAGATCACAACGTTGCTGATCCTAAACAGAACTATGATAGTTGTGAAAAAATAGACGGAAATAATAACGCCGCATCATTACACTGTTTACGTGCGAAACAAAAGAAAGGTCCGCGCTCAAGAGAGGCGTGCTTACAGGACGAAACGGACCGCAGCGTTAAAATACGCTAAGAATGGATGCCTTGTTATGGTAGACCGGGCCAACCGAGTAGATGCGAAACTACGGTAGTTTCGAATGTGGGCTATAGCGAAAGCGTCATTTATAGATAAGAAACTGCAGCATAATTGGCGATGAGCAGGTATCTTTCCTACGGCAAGTCGTAACATAAAGAACACTTTCAATGTGTGTTCATTGTTTAGATCAGTCAATAACAAAAAACGCACTAGTTCGTTAGTTAACAGGCCTGTAGCTCGTTATGTAAAGTCAAACTTTTTCCATACGCGTTCAACAGATTGAAACCGAATCACATGGTCTAACGTATCTATAGAGATGCCATCAAGGTGCGTGTTTCAAAACAATTTCCTAATTAAAAACTCTAATATTTAGGATAGTAATTGTTTCTGCTTAATAATAGGCCTAGCACATAGAGTGTCTGTAAGTTCTACGCAGTCTGCCATGAATATTGACAGAGGTGCGTGATGAATAGAAGGAACGACATTGCATTGAAGGTTCAATATTTTAAAGTCATTTTATTCGTTGATACAAATAATCGTCTACATATTCATCGTTGACAAAAGACTGCGGTTTACTCTTTCATTGGGCAAACTAGAAAAAAACAGCATTTTGTCATTACTGATCGTCATTACGAATATGACTAGACGAATTTTTTCCTCGACTAGGCAAATCGGAACAATCTAGTAGTTTTTGGGAAAATTTATCACCCGTACCGTATCAAGCACCGCACCCGTCTGTCTCCCTTATGACGTCGCGGTTGCAGGACAAAGTTGTTGACTGCGCTAGGAAGAGGTACCTTCACAGAGAAATTGCGACAGTCGCCTAAGACTACACCTTAAATCCTTCACGCCCTCGTATCGAAGCTCTTTTTCTACTTCAACGGCTATTTGCAACGAAATGGCATTCATTTAACAACAGAGTAAGCAGAGAGAGACTGCGCGAACGATACGTCACATCTTACTTGTTTATTATATGTGATATGACACTTATTTGTCATCAATACCTGGCCACCTTGGCCTCCACTGGACATAAACGGACAGAAATTGGAAGGGGTGCAAAACAGGCATAAATAGACCTTACTTCTTTTTGTCCGTTGCGTAAGGCGGGAACAAAACGGCAAAGGAAAGCCTTTTGCTGCTGGTGCAACGTGTCTTGCGAAGCTTTGCTGGGCGGATATTTCGACTGTGGGAGCTATGGGACGGGGATCGTCACGGCAGCCTATGCAGCGCAAAATGACACACTGCCACTAATGACGGCTTCAACTGACGACACCAAGAATAGGTAATCAGCGGCAGGAACCGGCGCGGGAGTAACGGGATTGACCCGCCGCTTGTAGCTTTGACCTATAGCGATCTTTGCGTGCTATAGCAGTTTGCCACTTGTTTAGCCTATCAGTCGGTCAACGAGTGAGGCCGCTGCCGCATCAGCGAAACTGACGGACCAACTGGACGCCGCAGACCGTCTCGTGAAAAATCTAGCGACATCGGACACCGGTGTCACTGCGAAAGCGCGGCGGACTTTGCGCAACGATGCTAGTCGCGCTGCGATTACCGCTATAGGCCGTTGCCGCTAGCGACATACAAGGATGAAAAACTGAGCTAGGCCAACGCTAAACTGTCAACACCGCTGCTGGTGATAATGGCCACACGCCGATGCCCGACACAGACAACGCCAGGCAAAAATCTAATAAGATGAAGAATCCGCGACTGGGTAAACCGACGAGTCTACAACAGTGAACGACTTGCTCGGTTGGTGGAAAAAAAAAAAAAGAAATAATCATTACGACGAACAGCGACAGGTACAATTCAAGTCAACATAGTCTATAAGTGAAGCGCTGTTGTCGAGTACTACACGAACAAAAAGGATAATGAAGATGCATACAATTGTCACTAGTTGAGTTGTATGCAAACTTCCCAAGTTTTCACCGCACGACGGCGACTGTGGCGCCGAAAATGGGCGGGCAATTTAACGCACGCTGATGTTGTGCATCGGCTAATATAGAAACGTAGAACGTCAAATGCATCACTATGAAGGGATCGAGGCGAAGTACATTCACACCAAGATCGATCTGTTATCCAGGCCAAGCTCTATGATGCTAGGCCCTATTTAGATGGTGGAGAAACAATGATACGTTCATTTGCGCCGGTATAACCTGACTAGTAGATCCAGGTAAAAGTTATATCATCTTTCGCCAACATGTAGACGGGTAGGATTAACAGCATATTCTAACTGAAGTTGGTCCGTATATGCAATTGTAGTACAGGCTGATGTGCGGGTTCACAGTGCTCATTTTTGTGATGTTTGCGTGCAAACGTTAATCGACGTAATAAATGTATTTTATCAGGAAGCAGATTTTTTTTCATCGAATTTGACCTCTATAGACCTTATCGAGATTACAGAGAGAGATTACGAGACTGGGGAGTCACCCTATTATGATTTGCCAACGCCGAACAATAAATACGTAAATGTCTATTGGGTTACTGAAATGCGGTGTGCTTTGGCGGTCGTCGTAGCAAGCTTTTATATATACACATCTGCTAAAAAAACAATATGGTCCTTCTGATTCTCGAGTGAAGATCTATCAGAGAAGCATCTAGTACGCATAGATAATTCTTAGAGGTGTGTACAAACAATGACCAAAGTTCATAGATCACTTTTACAGCGATACTTATGTACTAGGCCCGAACTAGAGTAGTCATGAAAGCGTTACCGTCACGTCGCTATAGACGTGACACGAGTAAAATTACAAAAATGCAGCGTCTGCAAGAGGCACTCGTTCCAATTAAATAGACGCTTTGAGACACACTTCTGAGAACGACAATTAAGAATGCCCTACAGCGGATTACAAAGAGTAACAATTAGGACAAATTTCGAATGATATATTTAACTGTCTAAACTGCACTGACCAAAATACCTCCGTTTTGCAGAAAAAAACGAAAAAAAAAAAAATAACATTCATGTTTGTTCGTATGCTCTGTCAAAAAAAAATGAGCGGTACGTTTTTTTGTTAGTGTTGTCCACATTTAAGTTATAGCCTATATCCTCGACAGATCATTAGATTTACATTTTTGTTTTTTACATTACACATTATTTTTGCAAGACATGATATCGATGAAGAGATCCGCTGTTAAGCATTGTATTAGTCGCACGTAGAGTCACACACAGACAGATAACTGAGACAAGAGTACAAGTTCATATAACTTCAATAAATAACTCTGTATCCGCTACTAATCATACAAAAGGACCAAAAATAATAGTAATGACGGAAATAGTACGAGGGGTTTCTACGTAGCTAGGTCAACGTGGTCTGTATACAATGACGATGTACTCCGAAACTCACATACGAGAAAAGCTAATTTTTCTCACTTCTAATATAGCGGTGGTCACTAACGAGTCGTCGTCGGTGCCACCCGAGCAATTAATATGTTGCCATAAAATGTCGCATTTATGGCCGAATGAGAATATCGTATACGACCTCCATAGAAATTTACTTAGGTAGACTTCGACCTGGAAACCCGTAGAAGCTGTAATAATAATCTTTTATATAATATCTTTGACCTACAATATCCTATTTGTCCGACACGAGTGGATTCTTTTTTATACTTAAGAAACGTGTCTTACGAAGAACTCGAACCAGTAGTTCCTGGCTTTGAAGGCAGAGAGTCAGCTGTCTGACCTATTAGGAGCAAGGTAGCACAGCAAATATTGTATATTGGGGTACAAAGAGGAGTGTAACACCATTTTAATTTTCTTACACTTATCGAATGGCGAGGACTTCCACCATCTGATAATGGCTTCATTAGAAAGGAAAACCGAGCCATTAAACCAATCAGGACGTTATCTTATAGTTAAATGTGAGAAGCCCGCCACCTTGCGTTCGTTTTGTGTATCGTGATCAAACGCTTAAATCGGCCGTTAATAGCACCCATTTGTCTATCTCCTGCTATTTTTATCTATTTTACTGCCCATTTAGATGGGGCCTTCAGTGAAGCGCTTTTCTTATGTACCGCCATCACAGGACGTACGTAGATAGGCTTAGGTGGTAGGCAGCTAGTTCCTGTATGAAGAGAGTTTATAGATCATAGATTAATTTACTAAGAAAGATAAAAGATGAGATAGTCAGGAATCAGAAGGCGCTCATATGATTGGAACAAGCTGGTTTCGAACAGAGATAACATGGCTATTTGACACGAGTCTACGAAGTACGGGCCATTGTTGTCCTTTATTTTCGTATCGTATTTCGTTCGTAGATAAGTTAAAACGTTCACGGTACAGGTTGTATTATTGGGGTCTTTTACAAAGTGACGCCCCTAAGTACTCCCAGTAACAAAAATAATGCCTTTTGAAATTTGACAAATTCGTTGTCATCCCTCGGTCCACGTTGTTGACTTAATGCTAACATAAAAGACAGAACAAACCGATAAACATTGGAAAGTCTAGTTCTACATCTAGAAAGACTAAAGTTAATCAATCGCACCAACCAACTTTGCCCATTCGGTAGTTGACAGCCCTCTCCTAGCGATTTCTGAAGAGCCGCTTTAGACTATCACGAAACGTGCTATACATAAGCTATACACCGCACACTTAATTTACACAA